ACGATCTTGATGCGTAGCTCGAGCTGTATCATGCGGTTTGGGAACGTGCGAGTGTAGTTTGGGGCGAGCACGGGCGGAGGGACGAGCTGCGGCTCGCCGGATTGGATGTCGAGGACTGTGCCGGGCATAGGGACGCCTTTCCCGAGCAGGAGTGTGGTGTCTTGGACGAACTTGGAGAGCGACAGGAGTTCCTTGTTGACGGTCCTGTTGCAGGAGGGGCATTGGTGAGAAAAGTTGCCGTCGCCATAGCCGCTCCCAATGGTGCCAATCGATCTGTAGGCGTAGCAACGCGTTAGCAATGAGTTCCTATGAGATGAGGGATCAGTACATACGCAGAGTCGGTTGCATTTTCAGCAGTTCCGCAAGTGGTCCAGGGGACTTGCATGCCCTCTTTGCACCAGGGGCACCTGAGAAACTTGGTCATGGGATCCGCGAAATTGAACCAACTGCGTCCCGTCAATGAGCTCCAGGTACTCTTAGCCAGCTCACTCGCATCTTCAGCAAAGTCAGAGGTGATGCCTTCGTTTACAGCTTGCCATGGCATGCCAGCGGTCCAATACTCGACCATGTTGGACCTCATGGTGTCTTCAAGGAAGGCTCTTGGATTCAGCATGTGCGCATGCATGACCATGAGGACGTCTGGAGGTGTTGCCAAGTTCCATGTCAACCAGTTGCTCTCCTCATATAGTTCGTGTGATGAAGAAGATGAACTTACCTAGCGGTGGAAGCGAGTCTCTGCTCCAACGCAACGGAGTGCCATGCGTCGTAAATAAAGCATACTTGGGATGCCTCGGCGTCATCATGTCCTCTTCAGTCAACATGGTCTTGCCCTTGGTCATGGCACTCCACCACGCCTCATACCGATCCACTGCCCGTGCAAGATAGATGGCCCATCGCTTCTCACGGAGGCGACTCAGAGCAAGCCTGGTCCTTTCGTCCTTGCCGAGCCTGTCCAGCTTGACTCCCGGGGGCAGAGCCGCACCGTGCAGGATCTCAGTGTCCCATACCGCACGGTTGTCCCAAATGCCAAAGAGGCCGTCGGAGTATCCCACTTCCTCCTTGAGGTTGTCGACGGCGTGAAGGAACTTTAGGTGGGCGAGGCAAGTGTCGACGTCCGGGCCGCCAACTGTGTAAGTGGGTGAGAGGGAGAGGCTTGCGTAGGAGGACGTGAGGTCGATGTCACTGGGCAGGTCCGTGGCAGCGTCTGGAACTGTTGATGTTGCTGCAAGGTAGTTTGGCGGTGCTTCGCCGTTAGAAGGCTCGCTCGTGGTCATTCCCGGGGCCATGATGAAGGACAACAAGCATCGAGGTGAAAGTTCTTGATGGTGATCAAATCAAATGTTGACGCCGACGGTGCTCTACGTTCTCAGTTGAGACCACAGGCAGCACAGTTTATCTGCTTATAACGACGGCCAACAGCATGAACCCTGGAGTCAGCCTCGTTACACGGCGTCCAGATGGGGCGAATCCCGAGGGCAGGCGCGTGATGCCTTCAAAATGACGCTGAGGCTGGAAAGAAGCAAAGAATCCTGCGCCAAGCCGCGGTCGGTGATGATGAACGGATCAACTGCCAGCCATTGAGGCAAAATGCGATGTGAGGATTGACCTGTGATTGACCTGTGCTTGCCTGCGTCGACGTCAGAGGCGCAGCCCGTACATGTAGCTGTACTTGCTTGTTAGCGCTGAGGAGGCGACGTCCTCAGAAATTGGGCTGCGATGCTACGGGACGTGTTGGCCATTCTAAGGCTTACTGGTATCTGTACCTTCCCCAGCTTACCCAGGCACCAGAGGCGCTCGCCTCAGATTTGGTGCATTCAAGGCATCATTGCTGAAGCATCACGGAGTCTAGATAAGGCGGTTTAAGAAACGAAATTATGAGCATCAAACATTCATGTTACCTCATTCTTGAAACAATTAGATCAGTCGAGATTCAAAATTCACCAATAAAATGAATAATTCCCACACCACAATGAGTGAGGTTTTGAGGCTTCATCACGAAGCTGCATCCAGTTGTGGCTATGTAATACACCTCTGAGATCCTTAGTTGCCCTTTTGATCGCTCACGGGTCTATGGTTGCTTTATTCTTCTGAAAGGGAATAGCAAAACTGTCATAGTCAATAAAAGGTAACAAGAGGGGTAGCGAACAGAAGACCTTAAATCTTCCAGAAGTGAGGGTTGGGAAGGAGACAAGGCTATGTTGGCATGATGGGCGCAAGGCAGATACCGAGGTCCTATAAGTTTGCTCAGCAGGACTCAGGTTTAGTATAAGCTTGTCACATGAAGTGAACTTCAGGATCGATTAATGCGGGGTCCAACGGGGCCGCTTCTCCTGATCCTTCGCCTTTGTCCAGCGCATCAGGCACAGCCTCAAATTCAAGCTTAACACCGAGAAGCGAGGCATTCTAATTGGTAGGCCCTGGACATGTACGAGTCGTATGAAGCACGAAATCGGTAGAATGGAACACAATATAGGCACAGTTACCAACAGTTAGCGCGTTCGTCAGAGAAACAGAGCAAGACTCTGCGAGTGTCACTGCTGACCCGGGCTTTGCACTAGACGCCATAGAGAATAGGAAGATCGGATGGACATCATTCTCCAGTAAACGCAGGGAAGATGGTGTAACGGCTGATGAGTTCGAAGCTTCCACATTCCCTTGTAATTGTGCCCCCTCATTCCATCGTTGACAGAGAATTGACGCCCTTGATCTTTATCATACGAGTGAATCACGAGTATCGGGTCTGCGGTTTGCTCCTGGATATTCGGTCGGGACCAACCCAATTATTCAAACGATCAAACAGAGCACTCAAAATCTGTTGGAACGTCCTCTCTGTAGCTGGCAATCTAGAGTAGGCAAGAAGTAGTCGGCGTTTATACTCATTATCGATCTGGGACCCCTAGCGGCCGTATTTCAGTATCGGCTTTTTGTTGGTTCGGCCATAGGCCATGGTCATTTTGCAGTTAGCTTAATATAGTCTGTAAAATTTATCTCATTTAGCCTGTAGTGCAAGCTATGTCTCTGATATAGGTAGAAACAGATTAACCACACGGAATATCATACTTGTTCTGAAGACGACGAGTCAACAAGAAACCACTCCCCTGTTCATGCTGAGTCAAGCTTCAGAAGTGCGCAGCTGCCAAGAACATTCGGAGCAGACGTTTATTAGGGGATAGTCGTTCCCTCTTGGGTTTCACGTTCTTTACTACTGGTCTTTTGCTCCGATGGGACAGAGTCGATCGTTTCACACCCAGAAACCTATATCTCTGAACTGCTTGTTGATATGGCAATGCAGGCCTACAGGAATTCTTAACACATCGAACATTATAAAGAATACTTACTTAGTGAATCGCTTAATGTCGAAATTGTGAGGGAGGTATTGCCGAAGGTCCTCCGAGGGGCTCGGGGGCTATTTGTGATAAACCGCGGCCCGAGTTCAGCAGGGTCCTTTGAAAACCTTGTCTAAAGCAAGCACATGGGGTAGTCTATCTTGTTAAAGTAGTGATATATATGTCTGGAATATTGTTTGCCAAGAGTCTGTTCTAGCCGGGGTTTGGTTGGACGCACGACCCAAAACTGAGTCCATAGACTCGTGATGTCTGACTCCCTGGTATGTCTGAATCCCTGGTAGTGAGATGGAGATGCAGGATTACGGGCTAAATGTACGCATCTGGTATTTGCACAAGTGAGCAATAGCGTGGCAGATGTTCCGGGGTTGCCATAGCAGGGTAGGACGAGGTCTGGAAGGCTGGTTGCGATCTCCCTTCGGCTCAAATAAGGGTAGTCACAATAGATTTGAGAATATTCAGTCGGAGCCCTCTGTAGAAGAATAGCTGAGGTATCTGGTATGTCCATCCCCTTCTACCTATGGTCAATCAGAGGGTTGTCCACGATTCAATACAAATTTCGGTAATGGCCGACGAGACAGGTTTTCATACTGACAGTAATATATATTTGATTCTTAGACCTGTGCGTTTGTTATTCTGCAGTAGTATTTTGCGCGAGGGACAGCAGAGGGATTTAAAGCTACAGCACCATGAATCGTGATGTAACTGCTGGTACTATCAAAGAGTGACAATTGAGCACAAGACTTGTCGATATAACACCGGAGGTTACCAGAATCGTAAAGAGCCTGTTCGATGTGACAGGGGTCATTTTCGGATTACTAGAACACCCCGGCACACTAGGTGACATTCAATCGGTCTGCCGCCGAGATGCTGCAGTAAGCTTCAGAGTGAGGTCGATGCTTCCGCCGCACCATCTTCTGCGCAGGATACTCTGTAAACATTGCCTTGTTTTGCATCCCGTTTCCCGCGTTTTCGGGTCCAGTTCGGAGTTTAACAGGAGCATCCAACAGGGCTGACGAGTCTGTAAATGTGGGTTGCGTGGCGCAGTAAAGCGTGGTCGTCATCCCGGAATACATGTATGTACTTGTAAGCAAATACGCATCTCGGACACGCGCCCTTTCAAGGACAACGCGGCAATCTGAAACACTAGGATTTGCGATCTCTTGACAACGTAGCGGATTTAAGCATGGATCTCGTGGATAGATACGACGGAGCGGCTTGTGGGGGTTCTAGATCGCTGGATAGGATGCCGCGGATAGAGCAGAAATAGAAGTGAGGCAATACGAGAACAAGGTTTCTCGCTAGTCGTCCCAGTGGCTCGTAGTCCGACATGTGGGATCCGGGAGTTACGCGGCAGCCATTGATGGTTGGGAGACTGGAGTCGCGGCACGGAAACCACAAGAGCAGAGCGCAGAGGGAAAATCTCAGCCCTCATTCCAACAACCCGGTCAAGCGGTGCTTTGTCTGGTCTTCCTTCAACCGTCGGAACCGTCAGTCTCCATCCCTGTGGCGTGGAGGTAGCAGCTCCTTAGGATCGGTCCGCTCTTCCTTTGACGGTTCGTAGCTTTGCTCTGTTTCTTTTCCTGCCCCTTATTTGTTGATCCTATTTTTTTCTTGATTACTATTTGTCACTGTTTGTGTGTCGTTTATATCATTATGCTTCGAATTTCCACTCGCTTTTGCGCTTGTTTTGATCGTTCACCGGGCAAGTTCGTTCTTCTCGCTGTCGTTACCATTGCTCTTTGCTATGCCTTCGGAAACGTCGCCCGCGATGCTGTCATAGATGGCGTTTATGCACAGTTACGTATCAACGAGTCTCTCAGGGACATCTTGAGGACATCGAAATATTACCAAAGAAATCCGATCAAGCCGCCATATAAAGACAAGTTCTGGGAATCTGGTCAGCGGTCTCGAAACTTGACTCGATGGATCACTGACCTTGATGGACCATTGGGATCCGAGCTACGCGAAAAGGAGAAGGAGATGCTGCTTGCAGCTATTGAGACAACGGCCAGCTCCCTCTTTCCATTTCTCAACCCGGCACCTGGAGAAAAGGGCTCCGAAACACCCCTGAGCGACTTGCGGCGCTCTTTCACCAAAGGCTCCAGGGGCATCGTGATCCCAGCAGGAGGAAGCGAATCACAAATCAGATTTACGGGACATTTGATTTCGACTCTCAGAGATGTTCTTGGCTGCTCATTGCCGATCCAGCTGGCCTATGCTGGAGATGGAGACTTGCCCGAATACCGCCGCGACGCCCTATTGTCCCTCGACAAGACGAATAACACAGAACTCCTAAATGTATGGACGGTGCTTGACGATACTATATTGCGTCTGCGGAGAAAGGGGTGGGCCATCAAGGCGTTTGCTGCTCTAGCATCGAAGTTCGAACATGTCATTCTTGTCGACGCCGATGCCGTTTTCCTCCAATCCCCAGAAGTGCTCTTTCAGCAGCGGGCCTACGTCGATAACGGAGCATACCTCTTTCACGATAGATTACTATGGCAGCATTCTTTTCAAGACAGACACGAGTGGTGGAAAGACCAAATCAAGGAGCCATCGCCGGCGATGAACAAGTCTCTCGTGTGGACCGAAGACTACGCCGAGGAGTGCGACTCAGGGGTTGTGGTTCTTGACAAGTCTCGAACCGAAGTCTTGGTTGGCCTGCTCCATATCTCATGGCAGAATACAAACGACGTGCGGGACGAAGTGTCATACCAGATCACGTATGGGGATAAGGAGACATGGTGGCTCGGACTGGAGCTTGCGGGATCAAGATATGAATTTGAGAAGCACTACGGTTCGATTGTCGGGTGGGAAAAGGAGGATGATGCCGATGCGAAGGCCGTCTGCAGTTTTGTCATTGCGCACCCGGACGAAGAGGACAAGTTGCTGTGGTACAACGGCAGTCTGCTGAAGAACAAGCTGGCTGATCCAGACGGGTACGAGGTTCCGCTGTACTGGATGATGGATGGAGAGTGGGAAAAGGGAGGGAAGAAGGACATGAGCTGCATGGTGAAGGGGGAGAGGCGCTGGTTGAGCGGAGACGAGATCTCGACATTGCAGATGAGCATTGATGCGGCCATTCGGGCGGATGAAGCTCTGGCCAGGGCTGAAGCCGAGTTCCAGGCCAAAGCCAAAGCCGATGATGTTGTTGATGAAGATGCATGAAGCGCGCGTAAGAGAATCATGCTGGCGTTCCAAGGAGTTACAAAAGCATTTACATTTTGTTTCCGGCCTCTTACACTCGATGCCAAAGAATTATAAGGGATTTTTCCTTCTCTTGACCTGGATGTGTTTTGTCCAGATGTTCCACTGCTTTTCAAAGGTGATGCCGGGTAAGTGATGGAGCTTCTGCTCTTCTGCAATGCTGGTGCCCACTTGTCATCTCCCCTGCTGAGTCATCGGCGATCTCGTCACATTGATCTCGCGATAGCATCTGCACTTCATCGATCCTCTCCTGTTTCATGCCACGTTCTACGGTACCATCGCAGCAAACAACATCATCATATCATCGAGAATCGGCCAGCTCGGGACAAGCTCTCCGAAAACAAGCAAAGCTCCCAAGCTCTTCCTCCTTGGTTTTTTCCCTGCTCTAGTCTTATCGAAAATGTGGCTCAGCGCCGGGACTAAACTGCAAGCTTCTTTCAGCTCCGGCCTCCCCACTCGCGCCATCTACGCAATATCGAGCCGATCGCTTCCCAAGAGGCCCATTTCCGAGATCTCTTAGGCTGGCGATCTTGGCGCTGCAACGTGGGCAAGGTTGAGCTGATGGCCTGGATTTTTCTTCAGTCTTCTCGATTTTTCCTGACGACGGTTTCTTGTGCGACACGTTGGCATCATCCGAGACATGAAGACATCACTCTCGGCTGTCGACTTGGCTGGTCTCTCACGTTGCATCGTTGCGAGTGCTGACAGGGAGGGAATCACAGCATATGCAGCAAATGTGAATGCAGCACCAGACGTCTATCAGATCCCACAGTGTGCGCTCGGTCAAATCGCACCCAGAGGCACCGTCCTCTCGCAGTGATTGGAGCATCATCGAGCCACGAACGCTGGTGCCTCAATCGCCAGTATGACGAAAGGTGCCAGATGCCAGAGCCTCTGCTGCGTGATAGTACCACCAATACTATCGTCAAGCAAACAGACACACATCACACACACACAATTAATCTATCCGTAACAGCGAGCTGGACACTAAATCCCCACCAAATCGTCTGACGCGCTTTTCCCTAGCTGGTCACCTTGGGGCAGCTGGCGGGCATCACCATACGTCATCGAAGTGAAGCTGGTGCGGATCAGGCTTGCAGCTCCCACAGCTGTGTTTGTCAACGTTTGCCACGGCTGGCTCGGGGCAGCGCGAGATAAGTATCTTGGCCGGCCATGCAACACGCGGTCAAATTGAGTTTGTCCACCTCGTCAGTCGATCATTGCAATCTTTATCTACTGTACGGCTCTTGCCAAGGCCGTTGCGTTGATGCATGTGTTGTGGCTGCCCCGTTGAATGCTGTCAGAGAGGGAGCTGAGCTCATACGTGTATATCTGCATTTCACCCATTGTCATCGTCACCTAGATCTCAGGCGCGTGATTCTGTGATATCACAAATCCGGATTCCATCGTTCGTAAGACTCCTCGGGCCTTCAACATCGAACACTGAAAGAGGCGACTGCTGTCTTGCATTCTCAACCAGAGATACGGCTTTGATCCGGCGCCATCATGAACGTCGACGAACCTGCCGTGCCCTCGGGCGCGCAGCCCTACAGCGCGAGGAACCGCGTGCCCAATGTCCAGGAATTCATGCAACGTCTCGATGCCGACAAGAAAAAGCGAGACGCCGAGATAGACGCCGACCTCAAGCGTAACAAGCGGAACCCGGACGTCAAGACGCATCGCAATGAGCTGAGCAAGCAGAAGGGAACACGCACGGTGCGCGATCCCGTCACTGGAAAGGATGTTGAGATTCGTGATGCGGACATGGACTTTACCGAAGCCGTGGAAAACCCTCAGGTATGCAGTCTAATTCCCTTGCATGGGTCCAAGAGCGCTGTGTTCGACTAACCTCCACGCAGTTGTCCATTCCCAACGGAAATCTGGGAAAGCCTGCTACAATCGCCGCCTCATCTCAGCAGTCTGGCGAAGAGTACCGCCATGCTCAAGATGTGACTGCGCCTCCGGATCCTATTCAAGAAGGTTCAACATCGGATGTGCCTATTCGCAGCGAAAAGACGTCTGTCCTGTTCTACAAGACGCCCTCGGTCAGCTACGAGCCCATGTTTGCCAATCTCGAGCTGCGCTCAAACCTGCTATGCGCCGGAATCTTCATGGGCATCGTCTTCTTTGGCCGACTGTTTGGTGGCCGGATGCTTGGCCTGATACCCCTGGCCATCTGCGTTACTTCGGGCGTCCATCTGTGGGTGAAGGAGCTGATCCGCCAGGGACGCGATATGGAGTGGGCTAGCGAGCAAGATCGTGGCGAGACCGCCACCGTCAACTTGATCCCCGAATCTGTCGAGTGGATGAATACCGCAATCGGCGTCTTTTGGGGCATGATTAATCCTGAAATGTTTGCCGGCGTTGCAGATACGTGAGTGCTGATCTTTCATCACATGCCCTTCCCATTGATGAATTTGAAGGCTAACTCTTCGATAGCATAGAAGATGTCATGGCCGCTTCCGTTCCAGGAATCATCGAGCACGTACGAGTGGCCGACATTTCCCAGGGAAACAATCCTATCCGCATTCTCAACATGAGGGCTCTTCCCGACTCCCATGTTCAAGATATCAAGGACGAGATTCACAAGGAGAACGAAGAGAAAATGGACGAAGATGAACTCGCGGCCGTGTCACAGGCTGGAGCCTTCTATAATATGGAGGTTTCCGTTGCCTATCATGCCAAGCCATCGGGGACTGATGTCTCCTCCAAGGCCAGGAACATGGGCATGCAGATTGTCTTTTACCTGGGACTCAAAGGCCTCTTTGGCGTCCCTCTTCCGATCTGGGTTGAACTGGTTGGCCTTGTTGCGACCGCGCGTGTCCGCCTGCAGTTGAGCCCTGAGCCACCGTTCCTCAAGACGATGACCATAACCTTGATGGGCGTTCCCAAGGTCCAAGCTGGTTGTACTCCCATGGTCGAAAAAGGCGTCAATATCTTGAACCTGCCTCTCATCTCCAACTTTGTCAACTGGGCCATCAGTGCTGCGGCTTCCATGTACGTTGCGCCCAAGAGCTTGACCCTGGACATTAGCAAAATGCTCTCGGGAGATGATATCAAGAAGGATACCGAGGCGCTTGGAGTCCTCTTCCTCAGAATTCACAAGGCCACGGGCCTCAGCAAACAGGATCAGCGTGGCAGCAAGGGTGGCGGCTCCGATCCATACATCACCATCAGCTGGAGCAAGTTTGGCAAGCCCATGTTCTGTACCCGCGTCGTTCAAGACAACCTCAACCCCATCTTCGAAGAGGCCTGTGGCCTCCTCGTCACCAGCGACCTGATCAAGGCCGACGAACAGCTCTCGGTGGAGCTGTGGGACAGCGACCGATCGTCTGCAGACGACGAGGTGGGCAAGATTGAGCTGAGCATCCAAGAGCTCATCCAGCACCCTGGCAAAATGTTCCAATATGTGTCGACTCTCAAGGGCCTCAAAGCTGAGAGCACCATGCCTGGCGAGCTCCACTGGGAAGTCGGATTCTTCGGAAAGACGCAGTTCCGCAAAGCGCTGCGCACCGATGGTCACAACCCCAATGTGGTCAAGGAACTGGGCGACAAGCCAGAGTTCCAACCAGACGTGGGCACGATCCAGAATGCCGAGGAAGATGCCGTCGTCCATACTCCGCCAGACCCTCTTTGGCCTTCTGGCATCCTCAGCGTCGTGGTTCACCAGATTGTGGGCCTGGAGCTGGCCAACGTCAAAGGCTCCCAGGGGAACCGCAAGGGCAGGGAGTATGAGCCAGCGAGACCAGAGGCTGGCGAAGTCAAGGAAGAGCAGAGCAAGAAGCTGCCAAGCTCTTACTGCACCATTCTCGTCAACGATGACCTGGTGTACAAGACGCGAACCAAGGTCGTGTCATCGCAACCCATCTTCAACGCTGGGACCGAAAAGTTTGTCCGTGATTGGCGCTCCTGCATCGTCACTGTTGCGGTTCGTGACTCCCGTAACAGAGAGCATGACCCCATCATCGGCGTTGTTCCCCTCAAGCTGTCGGACATCATGCAGACTAGTAGCCAGGTGACCCGATGGTATCCTCTTGATGGTGGCATTGGCTTCGGCCGTATCCGCATCTCTCTTCTCTTCAGGTCTGTTGAACTCAGGCTACCACCTTCGCAACTGGGCTGGGACATTGGAACCTTTGAGTTCTTGTCAGACACAATCACGGTCACCAACTACGCACCAGCAAACAAAGTCCGAATCCGACTGCGAACAGGAGGCTCTTCTGCTAATGTCAAGAGGGATCGGTCTTCTCGCGAGGGCGACGGCATGAAGTTTGATATCAGCGCCCCCGAGGGCGAGAAGAAGCTTCGTCTGCCGGTGCGGTTCAGATACAAGTCTCCGATCTTTATGGAGTTTCATCCCGCTGGCAAACGGGGAGCCGATGCGTTTGCTGCTCTGTGGCTACTGGAGCTGGTGGACAATGAGGAGAAGGACTTTGACATTCCTTTGTGGAAATGCGACAACCCCCTGCGCCTATCGCAGAACTATATCACGCAGGAGAACTACACTACCGTTCCTGACTTGAACATACAAGAAATTGGACGCGTTCGCTTTAGGGGTCGATTCTCTGCCGGCACTGACCTGGATCACTTCAGATTCGTCTCCGACAACGATACTCGCGAAACGATTGAGACTTGGGAAGCTTGCTACGCCGAGGGCGTGCGCCAGCTCGAAGTGCAGCCCGAAGTCCCTCCATTGACGCAGAAGCTCCACGACGAATCTCTGACGCAGGGCAGAGATGTGCTTGCTCAAGCCGATGACAAGGAAAAAGCCCGCTGGCTTTCCAAGGATGGTACCGACTGGTCCGGAGCGTTTGGCCAAGATCCGGCGAGTGCGATGAACAGGCCCATGTCCAGCGCTGATACTGAAGGGCATGAGCATTTCGAGATAGACACGGATGAGGACGACGAAGACGATGATGAAGACGCCCCCCATGTGGATGGAATGCGCAGAGCTGAGACTGATCCGACCTATGGCTCCGCGCCATCCGACGGAAACGACGAGCGCTATTCCTTGGACAGCCGTGCATCCAACGCATCAAGGAACAGCACCGCCAGCACTGGAAGCAAGAACCCGATCCGAGCGTACAAGAACTACAAGGAGAAGAGCCGGGATCTGCACCGCAAGCACCGCGGGTTGATGCAGTGGCTGCCCATGCGCAATGCGCAGTTTGCCAAGAATGAGGCCAAGTTTGCGGTCCGCAAGGTGAAGAAGATGGGGTCCCTGAACGGACGGAAGCCGGACGTGGAATCGGAGATTTGATCGACCGCCTATACCTTTTGTGCTTTTACACCTTTCCTTTGTTTGGGTTCGCTTGTAGTGTTATTGTATTGGAAGATTGGGACTGGACGTGTTAATCACGAACGATTATGACCCTTTACGACTTTTTCTGTCTGAGAGATGCTGGGATGCAACACTCTTTCGTCCACGAATAGCAACTCTTGAGACACACACCAATACCTGCCAAGAGCTTACGGGGCTTGTATGTTTATTCTTCATGTTTATTATTCTAGTATTGTTTTAGTACATCACACACAAACGCAGTATGTTTCTACCACTTCTCCACATAGGGACGAATGTCCAGTTCCTGAGTGAAGCAAGACCTGGGCTGAGTGTGCAAGTGCCAGTAACTCTCCGCAATCTGCATCCTGTTAGTTCTCTCTGGCACATATAATCGAATCCGAGGGCAAAAGTACGTACGGCATCAGGACTAATCTTGCCATCCTCCACCCCATTATTCACAACCCTATCCTTGCCCCAGGGGGTATCGATGCCGCCGTCGATGACAGCAAGCGCGACGTGCACGCCCTTGGGGCCAAACTCGCGCGCGAGCGACTGGGTGAGGGCGCGCTGGGCGAACTTGCCGGCGGCGAAAGTGCTGAAGAAGGCGGAGCCGCGGACGGAGGCGGTGGCGCCGGTGACGAGGAGGGTTGGTGGATGGGGGGAGGAGGGGACGGAGGCGAGGAGGAGGGGGATGGTTTTTTGGGCGAAGATGAAGAGGCCGTTGCTATTAATTTCCCCCTTGTTAGTCTTACGCAGATGGTATATAAAGATGTGCCGAGGTGTATGTGGATGTGTAGGTGTATGAGGAGGAGGAGGTAGAGGAGGAGATGTAAGTGAGAATTTATGGGGGTATAAGGAGGGGAAAAAAAAATAAAAACAAAATAAAATAAAATAAAATAAAAGGAGGCCTCACGCAGTTGTCTTGAGGCTCGTCTCGAGCTCCTCCAGCTTCATCTCCAAGAAGGGCTTCCTCGCCATGCCCGCGTGCCCATTGTACACGGCGGCAGCGAGCTTCGAGTCGGGCAGCTCGCGCGCGATGCGCTCAAACGCAGCGTCGACGGCGGCCGGGTCGGCGGCGTCGGCGGAGATGCCGATGGCGGTGCCGCCGGCGGCGGTGATCTCGGCGACAAAGGGCTCGTAGGAGGAGGGCTTGCGGGAGAGCAGGACGACGGCGTAGGACTGCCGGGCGAAGAGGCGGGCGAGGGAGGCGCCTGTGCCGGAGCCGACGCCGGAGATGATGGCGTAGAAGGGGGGTGGTGCCATTTTATTACTTTTTGACCTTGCTTTTCTGGGTTTTTAGGACTTGCGGGGTCGGGGAGAGAGTGATGGATGGGATGAGGAATGTGAGTTGAGTTTGTGAAATGGGAGTGAGGGTTGAGGTATAAGTCGATGGGGGAGGGAATTAGATGAAGGTTTTTTTTGTCTTTATATAGCGATGGCGACGCTTGAGGAGCGCATTGCGCAACCGCCTCTGTCTCCCTAACGTCACATATTGAATGAATGGAATCAATGAGTTACCAAACAAAAGCTGATAAATACTGATTAGAGCGTGCTATAGAGGGGGGTTGGGACACAATTGTGCCATCGAATCTTTTCTTTCTTCTGGCTTATAAAGCAGCCAATTGTCTCCCATGCGGGAATGAGGGGCGCCATTAAAGGGGGGTGAAGGGAGAACTTGATTTGGGAAAGTGGTGCCCGTGCGGGGTGGCGTTTTATCTTTATTTTTCATATATGTAATCACTCGTTTCTTGAGTTTCTTTGATGCCCTCAACTTGTGGTTTGAGTTGTTGCATCGCGGTGGTTGGAGTGAGGCTGATGTGGCTTTTGATTACGACGCCGAATGGAGATTCTAAGCTCGAAAACTGTGGTGTCTTCACTGGCTATAGCTTCATTGGCGTAATCACATGTCGAGATGAAAAGCATCGAGCGGCCACGACCCTTATTTCCAATTAGTCAGTCCTGGCTTTCCCCGCACTGCCAGATGGGTAGGTAAATGGGGTGATATCCGCTACTTGCGGGCCGGACCCGGTCGAATTCGGCCCCACACGGAGCCGAAGCTCGGACGAAGCACACGTACCTTACTGAAGCATTGCTTCACTTTGCGCACGAAGTGATGAGGAGTCGAATGGCAAGAGTCGATATATTCAACTTGATAAAGAACGCCTTTTATTCACCTCCAAATTCTGTCCATAGCCCTGCCACAATAAATCACACCCTGTAGGCATTGCGCTTGCGATCAAACGTCAGCAGAGGAATCCCAACGTCTCCTCCCCCATGAGGATCAGGTCCAGGCCCTCTTTTGAAGTAGTTCTTGATCCCATCCTTGCAATACCGCGTGATTTCGCTCCAGGCGGCGCTTGAATCGACAGGCGGTTTGATAAACTCGCACCTGTTCTGCATTTTCACGAGCTCCGCCGCCTGGGCACGCGTCGCACCCTCCGCTTCGATCGCCTGGACCCGGCGGTTGTCGTTGAGGCGCTGTCCTACGCGGCCAACGGCCACTCCAATCAGGACCGCCGTCACGGCGTAGGTGAGCGTCTGCTCCTCGAAAAAGGGCTGCCCGAAGGCCGAGGCAACGGTCCGCTGGACGCCGAAATCCACCACGATGCTCGTCGCGATGGTTGCGCCGCTGGCCCAGCCAGTCCTGTAACCGGCATTCGTCAGCGAAGCCCCGATTCGGGCCCCCGCGATGCCCACAAAGGGAGCCGTAGCCGCCCCCAGAGCGCCAGATAGGACGTCTTGTAACAGCCCGCTCCCAGTGTACCCCCATTCGTCGCCGGCGGCCGAGTTGAGCGTCGTGGTGACGAGGCTTCCCGCCACGTTGCCTGCCGCGCTTGCGGCCATTCCCGTCACTACCGAAGAGGCCACGGCGGCCGTAGCCTCGGACGCTCCGATTACGACGGCTCCCGCAGTCACCACTCCCGGCAGGGCACTGCCAAGCGTGGCAAAGGTGATGCCCACGGCGGCAGCGGCCCCGACGACGGCGGTGAGCATCCTGCGCAAGGAGAAGTGGCCCGTTGGGTCAAAGAAGTTGACAGGATCGCCTTGGCAGTAGGCATAGCGGTTCTCGACCAAGTGCGAGTCCATGGACAGGAAAGCCTTGATGTCGGGCTGGTAGAAGCGCGAGCGGAGATAGACGACGCCGCTGAGAGAGTCGACGAGTTCTTGGCCAAAGGCGAAGCTGGTCTGCGGCTCTAGTGGACAAGTAGATGAGTGGGCGCCGTACGCATCGTACGTGATGGCTATGGATTCTTCGCCGGTAAGTTGCATCGCCGTGGAGCCGTGCTGCTCAAAGAGGTACGTCGGCAATGCTTGGCCCGAGGCGGAATACGCGGCCAGGACGGCTCCGTTGCTGCGCAGAATGGAGCTTTTGTCTTCTGCTTGGCCGGCGGCCTCGTGGCTGATGGCGTTGATCTCATGGTTTCCCGTGTAGAATAGAGCTGTCTTGCCTTGTGGGCGGGCGATTCCGGCGAGGGAGTCGTCGCCGTGGTAGACGAACTTGCTGTCGCCTCCGCCGGCCGCTTCGACGGCAAGGAGGTGGTCGACATCGTCAAACATGTATTTCCGGCCAGCATCATCGCGGACCAAGCGGCCGTTGGGGTCGTACTCAAATCCGGAGTCGGTTCGCTGGTCGATGGCGTTGTAAGTCATGTTGCTCGTATGGCCGTTTACAGTGAGAGACACGATGTTGTGGTTTCCGTCATACACATATGTTTGTACATCTTCCGTCTGGCCATCGCTGCTCTTCTCCTCCACCATTTGGCCGAGACCATCATAAGTCCAGCTATGGCTCTTGTTGAGCTCTGGCCGATGTGCTGATGCGGACTGAATGCGGGACACAGTCCCGCGACTGCTCATTTCATACGTCGTCTCCAGAAGGACAGTAGAGTCAGGAGCAACTGTCAGGACCTTGGACTTCTGTTGGAATCCGTCATACGAGATCCTCGTCGTATACTGCATCTTGCCCGACAAGGTATAACCGACCAATGCCCCCAGGCAGTGGTTCGACGTGCCGTATTGATAGGTAACCACATCGCCCTGCGAGGATACGCTCGCCTTGCGGCCGAGATTATCGTATGAGATGTCCGTTCTTGTTCCAAAGACATCGACTTCTGCTGATACACGACTGGTCCAGTCTCGCTCATACCTCTGTACGCGGCCGCCACCATAGTCGACGGTGCGCGGAGAATCATCGAGGTAGAATTCATACTCGACAACCGCATCCTTGAACCGGGATGATTCAACTTAGCCTTTTACTCTGTATTTAATCTGCGTCGTCCCAGAGGCAGAGGTAGTCCGAACGGTCTGTCCACAGGCATCGTGCTCAAAGGTCAAAGCGCTGCCATCGAAGCGCGTTGTCTTCGTAAGCCAGCCATTCTCGTTGTATTCGTTCTTCTCTTCCAAGCCCAGCTGGTTCCGAAGAAGAGTAATGTTGCCGTGCACGTTGTATATGGTTATTGGTCCCTTCTGAGAAAACGACCGTCCGTCCGCGTATTTTACCTCTTTGAACCAGGTATGTTGGTTGCCGAGCAGGTCGTACACAAACTGGCGAGTTACGACGTCTTCGCCCGTACCACCTGTGCCCGTGACCGTCTCTGATGCTTTGCGCCCATCCGCATCATACGCGTGAAGGATGGTTTTCAAAATCTTTATTTCGCCGGAACTTCCAGTTGCTCGCTCAGAAATCGTCTCTTTGATCGTCTGTCCCTTGCCGTTGTAAACAGTCTCCTGCACGAGACGGTACGGCATGTCGCTGCCCGAGTCGGCAGACACAGTTTGCGAAATCGTCCGGCCATAGTTGTCCAGAACGACCTCTTTGCGAACATCTCCATTTAGAGTTTGCGTAATGGTCAGCGCCTTGTCATCGTGGGTCGTGGCCTGGACATTTCCTGCCGCGTCGGTCTGCTGGACAACACGGCCGAGAGCATCAAACACAAAATTTGTAGCAAGGCCGATTACATCTTTGGTGCATACCACGTTGCCAAGGCCGTCATACGAGTCCTTTTTTAACACTCGAGACGGACTGTCGGGTTGCTGCTTCGTTGGATCGCCGTTGTCTGCAATCTCGACAGGTCGGCCGAGAGGATCGAATGTGGTCTGCGTGATGTAGCCCTTGGAGTCGCAACACGTCTCTGTCATTGACGAATTACCGACAGTGTACGACTTGGTGGTCACGCCTCCGAGAGCATCGGTGTGCTTTACAAGGCGCCCCAGCGTATCATACTGGTAACTCGCAGTTTGCCCACGAGGAAGCGTCTTCTTCACCATGGGACCTCCATTGAGTTTCATGTCATATTGCAAGGTCGTGAGCCCCATCGAATCGCACGTCTTGACTGTGAGCAATCCATTGTTGAAACTGTACTGAGCTGAGGATTCGTAACAGCTGGCACTGCCCTCTGGAGAAATAGCTCCTTCAGCCCATGCAGACATTTCCTTGGTGACTCTGCCCTTGGAATCGTATTGCTTGGTGGTCGTCTTCCACGGCTTCATCGCATCCTCTGACGACGCCTTGAAGAACACAGTAGATGACTTTACCGTCTTTTCATCATTAGAAAGGGTGTTGTTCGTCTCCCAGGTAACCCCAGTGACCAAATCAGTCTCAATCTCCCGTTTAATCCTCTGTAGACGAATTTCTCGGGACGTGTAGTATTCCCTGGCAACCGTCCTTGTTGCGACATATTGGGCGCTGTCACTGTTATAGATGTCCTCTTCCAGCGAGACGAGCTCACCAAAAGCATTGTAGCTCATGACTGATTTCTTCATGCTCTTCCAGCTCTCATTACTGCTGTCGCCAACGCTGTGAAAGCATTCAAGTTCCGTGGGCTGAGCATGGTTGGTCGTGCGTGCGTGTTTGTCCGGATCAATCTCGTATATGTACGTTGTCCTGTAGGCCGCGGCGAGGCCGCCCTGGTCATTAATCAGATACTTGAGCTCCGCCACCGGGAGATGCAAATAGTTGAACTGATTCATCGTTGCCGCGAGTGTCTTCCCGCTCCCGTCGAGCTGGGTAATGAGCACATCATATCTGGCCAGAGTCAGCACCATGCATTGCATCTTGCTTGCACATATTTACGGGTCGCTTACTGGTAGTTGGCATCACCTTGATCCATTAGATCGTCCGTGAGACCGGACAATTGACATCCAATCGAGATTCCGGTAAAGGTGAGGCCATCAGACGGCCCGTACTGATAGTTTGTATGCTTGAGCGTCTCCCCTTGTGCATTCATCTGATAATGATGGGACACTGCAGGAAGATGTCGCACATTGTTGCCCCCGTCAAGATAGTCCAATGCAGAATAGACAAACTTGGAAGCCATCCCAGTCGGGTAGCTGATTTCTTCCAGCACTGACGGGACGTCAGGCACGCTGGTGTAAGTGAAGCGAGTATCGAATCCCATTGAGTCTGTAACTAGATCAACTCCGGCTTTAGTAAACCGCAACCTCGTTAGCTGCGTTGCTGGTCCTTTGATGAGCATTTCAAGGCCAGGCAGGTACTCAAATGTCACCTTTTGGCCCCAAGAGTCGAGGATGTAGTCCAGACACGGGTCAGAGGTGACGGCTCCCCCGGTTTGGCCGTCGAGATAGACGTAGTGCAAGCTGTTTCCGAAGAGATCCTGGCGAGCCACAGGCCTCCCAAACGCATCGAAATAGTCCATCGAGCCATCTTGAAGCTTGAGCTTGTATGCGTATTCGCCAGGCTGGCCGGTGGGCAACGGCTGAGGAGGGACGATTGGCTCAAAAACAACGCCGTGGTTGTTCATGTACTTGAGCCCAGATCGGTGACCGTCCAAGTCACTCCAATTGTAATCAATGGCATACGTTCGGCCCGCGAAGGTGACGCTGGATTCAGGAACGACATACGGTAGGTCGAAGCTCCAGTTCCGCGGCAAGCCAAAGGCCCCGGCTGATCCGGGCTGATAGGAGAGGACGAGATGAAAGTCGGCGCTGCTGATTGGGCCGCGAAGCTGCAGAAGCGGTTTACTAAAGTTGAGAGTGCCGGTGTTGGGGTTGATGGACTCTTCGCGACCGGGGATGATGTGGGTGAAGGCCTGTGAGCCCTGATATTGGCCGCCCTCGCCATCAGATTCATTGCTTGACATTGTGGGATGTGATAATAGTGTAGTCGACAGTCATCAGGGACGGTGAGTCGATCAAGAAAGGCAATTGGAACCGGATGAGGAGGGAATATGGTATCGTACATGATCCAATTCGCAGCTAAAGCGTGGTTTATATCATCCAATTAAACAGGCATAGAGGCGGATGCTTCTTCTCGGCATCGTGACCAAGGCACGGATCAAACACTCCGTACAATCTATCGAAAGAAGGTGCAACGGTGTCGAGGTTCTTGCTACCAGGTAGTGGAGGAAGGCACGGTTGACTTCGGGGCATAAGGTACCTGGTCTAGAGCCAAGAGTCCAGCATGCTCAATCTTGGATCCTTCAACATCATCATCAGGTACGTTCGTTCCAGATTCAACTCATTCGATTCCATCACGGATACTCACAAACCACCTCTTTTCCCCCGTCCAAGCTGATGTTTAAGCGCTGGCTACAAGTCGAGGCCCGTCCATCGGCCACTAAGCGGGCCGTTCTGGACCGTTCTCTGTCTTCATCCAAACCTCCAAAAGCAAGACCACAGCGATGTATGATACTGCAGCGCCTCAACTGAACAATAAGCGCAGCGACAGAGCTGAGAGTGGCCCAAAACGGTCGTCCATCGGGATCCCCGTGAAGCCTCGCGGAAAGCCCTTCGTAAGCGACGCAAGCTGAAGAGGAGAAAGAGCCAGCCGACAGTTCCCCATCTTTGAGTCTCCAGGATCTTGACCGTGAGGCAAACATTGGCATGTTCCCGATGCCCTCATAGGCTCGTGGCCGCAAAGACTAGCGAACTAGCGGGCCAATACTGCGTCCGAATCCAGGCCAATACGCGCGGGTAAGGCGGGCTGAAAGGGGGCCAATATCACTGCATCGTCACATTCGCCAAACGAGAGTAAAACAAAAAAAAAAAAAAAAAAAAGACGGCAGTGGCCAATATCAGCCCAGCTTTAGGCCCAATTTGGCAGACACGGGACGTTGAAGGTGAGCTGAAGAAGCTTTTGGCGGTATATGCGAATGACTTCAAGTTGTATGAGTGCGGATATGATGTTGGGGTGCGCGTGTATATATATATATATATGTATGTATCGCTGGTTCTCACTTACACGGTGAAAGCTACAAGCCATCATCGGCCAGGCATCACCAGCAGCTAGCACCCAGCACAACTATCTCATTCTTCACAAGGCTTCATCTCACAGTGAGCAAGATGCACTTCTCCATGCAGTCTCTGGCCCTGGCCACTGCTCTTCTCATCAACGGCGTCCTCGCAGGCGCAGGTAAGCCACTTGCATCCATCTACCAGAAAAAGCACGATACTCACAATCTACACAGGCGCCCAAGTAAAGGCCTGCGTCTGGTTCACCACCAAGCCTCATTCGCCCGTCCAATTCAACTGGAACACCTGCGGCAGCTCCTCCCACTGCATGTACTGCAGTGGCCTGCCCAAGCCGACCATGACCGTCTCAGAGGCGGGCATGACCTGCGTCGACCTCGGCAAGGTCGAGTCCAAGTCGAGCAACACCATGTTCTTCGACTTCTGCTCCACCGACGAGAGCCACTGGGAGCTATCGTACAACTCGCCCTCGTCGTCGTACAGCGGCTCCGTGTCCAGCCGATGGCGCGGCGGCGGCTTGAGGCACAACTATATCGAGTTTGACAAGGACAAGTACTCGGCGGGCACGAGCGTTTGCGGGACCAAGTCTGCTTGTGTGGACACTCAGACGAACTGGGATTCGGGATCTGAGCCTGATATCTATGTAAGTGATGCTGAATGGCCTCCAGTTTCGTTGGTGCTGTCATGATGCTAATGTAGGAATGCACAGTTTGTCTTTCGCCCGCAGCAGCAACAAGGGAAGACTTGGGCTGCGGAGGGGATTTCAGCTAAAGAGTACGCGGATGTTGGAAAAGCCGCGATTTTTCACGATCAATCTGACCTCTAGGCTTGAGGGTGGCATTCTGGACATCAAATTGCGTGAATGGGTCACACTGGACTGGATCCTGACGGGGACCTGGCTCTGTATACTACAGCACGTAAACGAAACTTGTATGTATCTGCATAGAATGAGCAGGAAGCAGTAGATGGGCCTACCGCACAATGAAAGAAGCTCGGACACTTTTGATGTCCAGTATTGTCTGAGACCCGCGCATATAACAGGCAGCTCGTCTATTAGCACATGCATCACCGCGGCTCATAGATCACATCGCGTTTGCTTCATGCTGTTTCGCTCCGTACAGCTACCAGACTATCGACATTCCACAATGATTCTTAGCGGAGCATCCATCATCAAGCGCGGAATTGTGCGTAACCTGCAATGTACTACTCAGATTCAGCCTTGTGGAGTTGACGTCTCCCTGCGTCGCGTCCTCAGATGGACCTCACCGGCCACAATCGACTTCGACAACACGCGTCGACAAGCCGCCGGCACTACAGAATTAAAATTCGACACCGCCGATTCAGTCAAGCTTGCCCAGGGCTCATATCTCGTCGACTTCAACGAGACGGTTCGTATACCGCTGGACTGCATGGGCCAAGTCTTTGTCCGATCGTCGCTCTGGCGGTCGGGCGTTTCAGTGACGGCTGGCGTGGTGGATGCTGGTTATGAAGGAGCTTTGGGAGCGTTGCTAGACGTAAAGAATCCAGCCGGTATTGTGTTGTATAAGAATGCGAGGCTGGCGCAGATTGTGCTGCATGGGCTGCGGGAGAAGGTGGAGGAGGGCTATCGTGGGGTTTACCAGCATTCGGCGAACAGTCTAGGACGTGATGGACGTGGCAGACTATGATACCATTCTGTTCTCAAGTGAGATTTCTATGAAGAAGAATGGAGGTAAAACGGAAGAAGCATAGAAGTTCTCCCTAGGTACCCGAGTATAAGTGATGCCCCAACACGTCCTGCACAAGCTGGTACAACTTCGCCCTCCGCTCAACGACGCTCTGCTTCCTCTCATTCGACAAGTCCTCATCATACTTCTCAGCTACATTATCCGAGATGATATGCAAATACCCAAAGCGAATCCCTCTCTCGACAGCAGCCTGCGCCATCATGCCCACCTCGGGATCAACAAAGTCAATCGCCTCAGGCAACCCAGCCAACCATTCCTTCGTCTCAAACAAAACACTCCCTAAAGTGACATGCTGACCTGTGATTGTGTAAGACGCAGCAACTTCCGCAACGGCCTTGCCAAGCGCATTCTCCCATTCGACGACTTGGCCCCGGACGTGCGACACTCCCCCTGTCGCGAGCCAGGTATTTGGCTTCACGCCTTGCTTTACGCTGCCGAGCTTGCCAAAGTAGAGGACTTGACGTACGCCGTGATGGCAGGCGAGGAAATGGACAATCTCGCCTGAGATGTCGCCCCAGAAGGAGGGCCGGAAGCCGAGGAAGGCGACTCTGCGGCTGTTGAACTGGCGCTCCGTCCAGGCGAAGCAGTCGTCGCCTGTCCAGTCTACAGGGCCGGTTAGATTCTCTAAGCGATGTACGAGGCCCAAGACGACGGTATCAACTCCTTGGGGGAATCTTGTCAGGTTTGTACCCATCAGGGCTCTTTGAGTGTCCGCGCAAGACAGTCGTTCAAACGAGACAGCAGACGGATCGGTCAAGATAATCCCTTGGCTTTGGAGTATCCTGAGATACGTAGCAATGATCTCGGCATAATGCTGGACATGGTCAGACCCCGGGAAGCACTCGATGAGGAGCCGGTCGCCGTCCTCTCGGGCTGTAGGGCGCTGCCAGTTGAACGGCTTGTCCGCCTTTTCGCCGTGAAATTCAATGGAAGGATTTCGTCTTCTATACGCCCCGATGACTTTGATGCTTTGGTAGGCACGTTCGAGGACTTTGTGGTGGACTTTGATCTCAAGATATCGAGGCAGGGAAGCGCCCATTGTGTGGGTTTCCACCGTCGCCTCACATCGGGGTAATAGCCGGCCGAGAGGCATCTACAGAAATGCATCAGTTATAAAGCTATCAAGAAGCAGTCAAGCCCTTACAGTACCATGAATTATGCGGCATTAGCTGTGAAGAAAAGCCGTGTCCTGAGGGGAAGCAATCGCCAGTTTGAACCAAGGGCGTAAGCCTCCTAGTCAAGAAACACCTCATGTCTTTGATGTATCAAATTTGGCAAGTGGATCAATGCCCGGCGAGGAGGGAGTGATGCATCATGTTTTGCAAAAAAAAAAAAGGTGTGTTTGTGGTTTGTTATCTTGTTTGTTGAAAGTAGTCGAGAGCTAGGCGCTGGTCCAGGGCTGTAAGACGATTAATCCCGCGTCACACAGGCCTTGGAGTTGCACCCACTGCCTTTTGGAGGGGAATGAGTACATTACCAGAAACAGGTATTTCCATAAGCAGTATGCGCCAAAGGCAGCGATCAGAGGTTGTGCCTTGCATTGTATGTGGAATCAGCAGCAATCCCCTTACAAGCTTCATGAGACGTCAACTATATCACATAGCACAGGTCGTTTCCAATACAAAGACATGGCGTCTTCTCTTCTGAAACCACCACCCCTTGCCCCAGTAGGTAACTTTTCGTATCAGGACTACCGGTAGATACTGTTCTCTTGAATACACGCCACTGAGAGAATAAATAGCCTACCTAGCTGCTGCCTATTTCTTTAACGTGGGAACACATGTAATTACTACCATTCGACTGGAAGGAAGGTCTTATGTTGAGATGTGTAACAGATCCCTGGGTACTCCTGCTTCAGAATCAATGAAAGTCGAGCCGATAGAGGAAGCTGCAGCTTTGAAACATTATAAAAGCCCACGACTCTCATTTGATTGTCTTCCATCTTCTACTTCAATAACAGTCCCCTTCATCATCGCGTCGAGCACCCCAAGCCATCTGCTTCCTCTTCGTTTGCTTCAACCATCTCACCATCAGCACCTGGCCCAGTCATCCTTCTAGGAGATAATGGCAGTCAGATGTGGTCGGGTACATCGTTTCTCTTCGGCTTTTGGTACTTCCTTGGAATTCCCCTCTCTTATGTACAAGCTACCAACATCACACCAGCGGCTATGATTGCTCTTATTAGTAAATCAAGTCATTGTATGCTAGCATATGTATTTTGTATGAAATTACTTTCTGTCTGATCAAGAGTATCTCCCCCAGAGATATTCGTGATACTCTGCAGAACAACTCCAACCCTTTATCGTTATCACAGCGTTCCCAAAACGGCAAAAAGCGGGCCCCCTCCAACCGTACCTTTTTGTTTATTTCGATGTCACTGACAGACAGACACTCTCAACTCATCTCACCTCACCTCAACTCACCTCAACCCTCTCCCACACCATCACCAAACTTCTCCTTCTCTTCTCCCCCTTCCACCCTCCTTCACCGACAACCAAAAAAAAATCACAAAAATGAACAGCAACTTCCCCGACCAAGACCACTCACCCCTCATGCTAGACCCCGTCGAGTTCTGGAGCAGCCAAGTCGCCGCCGCCGCTCCCAAACGGCCCTCCAGCGCCGCCTCGCAACAGCGCTTGTCCTCCTCCGTGCGCCGCTCCGCGAGCATGGACCGCGACGACCCCCTGCACGCCGCGCCACTGGCTCAGTTCAAGTCGGCCTCGAGGTCGTCGTCGTCCTCCGACAAGGGCGAGGCGCGACAGGCGCGAATCGCCGTCATGTTGAAGAAAACACCCGCGTCCGTGAACAACAACAACTTGAGGCCGGCAGGCTCATCGCAGAAAGAGGGCGGCGGAAGCAGAAGCGGGAATGAAACGGCGGGAGCAGCAATCTCAGCAGCAGCATCGCCGGCTTCCTCATCACTCTCATCTTCACAGCAGGCGTCTTCACTCTCACGCGTGACGATGAAAAAGGAGACGCCTGTGCCTATTCCTAAGCCGTTTAGCAGCAGCAGCACATCAACACCGGTAACGACGGCTGCATCGACGTCTTCACTTCATACGCCAGTACCGCCACCAAAGCCAATGGCCAACATGAAGACAGTCACGCAACGAACAGCTCCAATGACAGCTTCGACGCCAGTCCCTCTTCCCAAACAGTTCACAGCAGCACCGGCGCCTTCAACCACAATTCCAAATTCCAACACAAAACCAGCCGTCACAGCTCCCGCTCCGCCCCGAATCCAAGCACCAGTCCAGACCCCAGTACCGGTTCCAGCACAAACCCGCATCTCAGTCCAGATACCCGCGCCAGCACCAGCACCAGCACCAGCATCAGCCCACCCTCCAAGCTCCGGCCGAGGCCGACCCAGGGGATGGAAACCCGGCATGTCCTACAGCTCCCTGCGAGGACCAGCCCCAGAGAGGTCCGCCACAGGCAGACCCGGTCGGCCAGCCAAGCCAAAGCCCATCGGCGCCCCATTCGGCCACGCAAAGCGTCGCGGCAGACCGCCCAAGGCGCCGTCTCCCCTGCCGTGGCAGGTCTACCGGTCCCTGCAAACCTCGTTCGTCGCCTTCCTGTGCGAATGGAGCGGCTGCAGGGCCGAGCTGCACAACCTGGACACGCTGCGGCGCCACATCTCCGTCGTTCACTGCCGGAAAGCAGCAGCAGCACCGTTCATCTGCCGCTGGGGTGCGTGCGCGCAAAAGTCGTCGTCGGCCTCCTCGGAGTGCCAAGTATTTCCCGATGAGCCTTCTCTTCGAGAGCACGTCGAAGAGGCGCATCTCGTACCGTTTAGTTGGCACGTGGGAGACGGTCCGCGGAACAGCGGCGGGCCGGTGAAGCACCCGCTGGACGAGGATGGGATTCCAGGCTACTTGAAGGACGAGCAGGGCAACCAGGTGACGCCGTCTATACGCGATCAACAAGTGGAGGACTTTGCCACGTTCAAGCAGAATCGGCAGAAGCTGAAGGATTTGCTCATCCAGATGAATGAGAATCTACCAAGCGAGGAATCGGATTCTCCCCTTGACGAAGATTGACGAGGAAAATAGGTGGTTCGACGCATCATCTCCTACGAAAGTATGCTGTGACTAGTATATTTGGTGCTTCACAGCTTTCAAGGAGTTCAAGAGCTATATAGACTTCATGTATAATTAGAAGCAAAGAAAGCATGACTAACGTGGCAGGATGTTGAATTCCTTGCCCTCACACTACATCTTATGCATCTCGACAGCAATGCTTCCTTCGAATCTCGCAACCGAAGGATTCAAAGTAGTGTGTAGAAAGAAAAGGCAACAGATCAATGTAGGCGTGTTCAAGGTAGTGAATCACCCCTTCATAGGTACTGCTGAAGTATGGGCCAATACCACTGGCACCACAGGCTCGCATCACACATCATGAGCAGCCCAACAAGCCCGACTTAGATCCTCGACCATCTCAACAACGTAGCCGCAGCAATGACGGGCAAAACGCTCACGAGCTCGCCCAAGCCCGCATACTCGGGCGGGATCCTCGCATCGACAAACGCGCCCGCGGCGAGCAGGACGGCGAACAGGTTATACACGAAGCTCCAGCCAAAGTTGAACATGATTCTCCGCATCGACTTCTTGCTCACCGCGATGACGGTCAGGACGCCCGCGAGGCTGGGGCGCATGAGGACGACGTCGGCTGCGGATTGGGCGACTTCGGTGCCTTGTTCGTTCATGTGGATGCCAATGGTGGCTTGGGCGAGGGCGACTGCATCGTTGGTTCCGTCGCCGCAGAAGATGACGACCGGTTGCTTGGACTTGTCGACTTTGTTGCGACCGTCGGTCTTGGGTTGGAGGAGTTCCTGGATGTAGGCTTGTTTGTCGACGGGGGTGCAGCGGGAACGAACGTTTGCCTCGGCGATTCTCAGCTGGGTTGCAACAGAGCGTACGGCGCCGTCATCGTCTCCTGAAAGGATGTGGACCGATATGCCGTTATCAAGCAGACTCTGGACCGTAGAGCCAGCGTCAGACCGGATCGAATCCTGGAGGCCAAAAATTGCAGCGAGAGACCCGCCAACGGTGAAGCCAAAGACGGTATATCCACGAGACAGCATTGACTGCGCAGTCGGGTGAGACTCGAGGCAGAGCCAACGTGAGTTGCCTGCCTTAAGAGCCAATCCGGATCCGCCTGCCACTCCTTCGACGCCTTTTCCTGTCAATGCCTTTGCGTCGGATATAGACGCGGGTGAGACGCCCTGATGTTTGAGATGCAAGGCTATCGCGGCGGACACCGGGTGCTTGATATTCCCTACAAGACCGAGAAGTAGCGACTTTGCAATAGTTTGATCACCGTCGGCATACCATTCTTGCATCAATGCCAACTTGCCCTCTGTTATGGTTCCAGTCTTGTCAAAGACGACGTGCGATGTCTTATGGGCAACCTCGAGGCCTTCTGCCGACTTGAAGACAACGCCTCGCTCGGCTGCAACGCCGCTAGCAATGACCACCACCATAGGGACCGCCAATCCAATGGCGCAGGGACAGGACACTATCAGAACAGTGATTGCGTAGGTGACTGCTTGGATTGTTGCCTCGTTTGCAGGTAGCCCTCGGACCCTCATGCCGACGGCGATCCAGATACAGAACACAGCAATGGTAATGACGACCACGGCGGGGACAAAGTAGCTTGCCACACGGTCGGCTACGGCTTGGATCCTTGGCTTCGACAGTTTCGCCTCGTCTACCATGCTGGCGACGGTACTGATCGTGTTGTCGCCAGGGAGGCGCGTCAGCCGCACATGTAACATGCCTGAGCCATTGACAGTTCCGGCAATGACTGAACACTTGGCATGTTTCTCGACCAGCATGGATTCTCCGGTCATCATAGATTCGTCGACCTCGGACGAGCCAGAGATGACGGTGCCATCGGTTGGAACCCTTGAATCAGGGGCGATTTTGAGTATGTCTCCATACTGAAGGAGGCGGGCATCAATCTCCTTCTCTCCCTCATCAGTCAGAATGACGGCTGTTGGACTCTGCAGAGATCGCATCGAGATGGATTCCACTGCCTTTTGGCGAGCCAGGGCGGCCACCCAGCGGCCTACCATGATGAGAGTCACCAAGAGAGTGCTGGTCTCGAAAAACTGACCAGTCGATAGGGGGCGACCCGAAGCCAGGTAGGCAAAGGAGACGACCGAGAAGATGTAAGCCGCGCTGGTACTGAGAACGATGAGAAGATCCATCTCAATGACTCTCGAAAAGACGAGTGCCTTGAGAGCCTTTGGATAGAATGGACCGGCGACAATGAACTGGACGAGTGTTGCCAAAGCCAACGATGCCGAGCTGTATGCCAGATCATGCTCAGGAAGATGGGCCCAGGCCATGACCAGGACCGGAATGGTGAGGCCGGCTGAAAGCAGGGTCATGTAGCCAATATGTCGAACATGTCTCTTGCCAGTCTCGAGTGATGGGTCGAGGCGGTTTGCCGCGAGATGAATCGGACTGCCTCCCCAGTCGCTTTCGATGAGATCTCTTGCACCAATAAGATCAGCATTGTAGCTGATATTGACTGTTCTTTCATCGACGACCTTCATTTCGGTAACGCCGTACGGCCAGGGCTGATTGACAAAGGCAGCCGCACCACCAGCAGGAACTACAATATCAAGGCTAGAGCCTTGGTTTGAGATCCTTTCACACTTAAACTCGGTAGTCCTCTCCAAGTGCTTAATCACCTCAACCACCGAAACAGCACGGCCGACAAGGTCAAACTCAGCGCGCGCAAGGACCAGGCTGGTCTTTAGGTTCTTGACCGACGGGAGGGTGCCAAGACTGCGGACCAGCTTCGTCTCGCAGCCGGTACAGGTCATGCCCGAAATGCTCAAGATGACATGTCCTTTCTCGTCGTGAGAGAATGCAGTCTTTTCGACATCGACTTCGCGCGCCATGTCAGACAGGACTTTGGTTGATTGTCCGGCAGAAACACCAGGTTCGTTTCCAGCGCAGCAGGAGTCGGCACAAGAGGTTGAGATGCTGGAAGCCTTCACCTTGACTGGGCCATCGCCTGTATCCTTGCATTTGCCATACGTTGCCGCAGGCTTCTTGGAGGAGCAGCAGTTTGCATCAGCCCCACTAGCACAGAATGAGTCAATAGAACGACGTGAACGTGAGGAAGCTGCCTTATTTGAGCGGCTTCGTACACTTGCTCCGGCTGAACGGCGTCGAGGGTTGCAGCAGGATTCCTGACCGAGGGCGATGAGGGCTCGGCAGATGCATCCAAGCGCCTCAAGCTTCTCGATGTACATGTCTCGAATCTTGCGAGAATGGCCTTCACATGATTTTCCGTTTCTGCCTCGAGTGCAGCTGGAGGCAGACTTGCTGGCGCTGCCTTGGCCTGCGAGATCGAGGAGGTTAGCAATACGGAATGATAATCTCTAGAGCGCTATAAGAGCTCACCTGGCTCGAGACCTTGGCATTCACGGAGCGCGAGACGATCGAGGCAGGTTTGGTCACAGCATGGAGAGATTTTGCCCTCGCAGCAGTCTGGTGCTGGCTTATCATCTGGACATGGCTTCTCTTCGTTGGAGCAGCAGCCCTTGTTGCAGCTGGGTTGGGGAGCGCAGCAGTCGTCCTCGAGATTGGCAGCCTTGTCCATGTTCTGGCAAGCCGACTCATCTTGTAGCTCGTCTTCTGAATCACCGCAGCACGAGTCCTGGCATGATTGATCATCGTCCTCGTTGCTGCTACTGTGGTCGTTGTTCAGCTTGCCGCAATCATCAATGATGTCGAGTTCTTCAGCGTTGCCATCGGGCACATGGCCGTCACAGCAGGGATCTTCTTGCTCCGGAAGCTCAACAGAGCAGCTGTCCTTGACGGGAGGAGGCTCAGAAGGCGATCCGCAGCAGCCCGAGCCGCAAGCCATGATGGAAATTGCGCGAATTTGGAGGCTGTAGACGAGACTCGGACGGATGTCGAATTTGAGTTATCGTCGAGTTCGCTGGGCTCATGCAATGGAACGCCAAGCCCGATGGCCCAACGTGGCCGCTACGGGTGCGGAAGATGATTCTTTCCGAAAACCACCAACAATAGAAGCCTTGGCAATCGAAGCATCGTCAAGTCAAGGCAGTGGCTGCGACCTTGAAGGAGGATGCACTATCCGTCTATAACCTGGAGAGAGAATAACCTGGAGAGAGACGCATGTACCCGGTTGATGCCTGAATAGTTGATGCACCCGCTTGAGCTTGATATGACACTACATGTAGTATGGGATACCAATCTCCTTGTATCGAACATGGCAGGGCATCATACTGCTGCAATGCTTCTCTTGTCGAAGCATGCATGCTCTGATCTTGACGACATTCGAGTGCCTTGTGGCTTTGCGAATAGTACCAGTGACAGACGTGTTTACCCTATCGTGTGCCTTACGTGTTACGAGGACTCTAGCTGATGACTGAAATTGTGCACTCGCAAGCCGTAACGAGTTATAGACACCTGATCGAGCTACGTACTTGCCGGTAATTACTCCGGATAGAGCTCCTAAAACGGAACAAGGCCTTGCGCTTCGGGTATCCAGGGTTGCTGGTTTGACAGATGGCAAGTTCAGGCCAGCTGATGACAGCCTCATCTGCAACAACAACCATGATTACCGAGGTCTCCGATCCATGGATTGTCCAAAGAGGGCGCTGCAACGCAACGATTACATACATACACACATCGGCCTGGCAAATGGACAGCAAACCCGAACCGATCAGCACCAGCAAACGGCTCACAGATCTTCACAGACTGGAGCTGCCGGCCCACCTCTGGTTCCGCCGTCTCGGGCTTCAAGGCGCCGGGGAATGGAGACCGGACCGCCGTAGCATCGATTCCATTTCTTCCTTGTTTCTCGCACTCACGATCTGATTACATCATAGCATCCATTGAAATGACAACGCTGGCACTCCGTGCTTTAGCGCAGAGACAATGTCCGATCGAGGCATGACCTGGACGTTGCCCTGCTCACGAACTACCATGGGGGGGCCTGGCCGGAAACATTTCTGGAACAGGCGTCATGTCACGGCGGAGGCCCTCGTACGAGTATGACAAAGTCGCCAGACGCCGAGGGTACCGACCGACTGATGATGCAGGAGCAGGCATCTTTATGCGATCGATGGATTGGACGACAGACGAGTATGAAGAGAGCATTGATGGATGCTTTGCTGCTTTGATAGCTGCATGTGTGCTAATGCAGCCCTAAGCTGTCGGGCACACACCATCGCCTACCTTAGACATAGACTTGCACACGCGGTAACAATACATAGGCGTCTCTGGATATTGCCGACTTGGGGCGCCGAATATTGCCGTCTCGTGGAATCTGCTGCTTTGGCTCTTCACGTTGGTTGGTAAGCAGCACCGCTGTGATTTCTGTCACCAAGGCGTCAATGCCAGGGAAAATACCCAGCCCTGGAAGTTGAGGTTCCCTGTTGAGACTCCGCATTGCAGAGGTACAGATACCTCATCGTCAAAGGTACCAGTACGAACATCGACGGGCACAGCAACAGCCAAAACGGGAAGCATGACGACGGCCTCCAGTTGCTGCATCAGGGCATCGACACACCTGGAAATGTCATTTCGGGCCAAAAACGTCGGAATGATATGGCGTAAGAGTAGAATACGCAAGTCTGCCTTTCTGGAGTGCAAGTCCGACACTTCTGTCGTGTTCCGTGCCGCCCGGAGCCTGCAAATTACTCGCCCGTATCAAGTACGACGTACTCGACATTATAAATGCACAGCCCGGGTCTGGTGAGATTTGATATCGGATACCAGGTTTGCTAGCAGCACCTGGCCATACTGTATCCGTACACATTGAGTATTATGACAGGTTTCTGACCAGGAACCGTGCATCAGTGGCTGTGTGCCCGTTCCTGTGCCTGTGCTGACGAGTGGGCATGGAAAAGATTTCGAAATGTTCGATGTCGATGCAAACGCCATCAATCTCATGACTCGGCTTATACCGTACGGATTACGTCGTGCCACAGCAGACAAGAATGGTGCAAGTCGCGATCTTGCCCAGCCAAGCTCGGGCTAACAAGGTGCGAACGGTTGAAACAAGCCTTCTCGTACCGCTACAAGCGCCGAGATGGCCCCTCCTCCAGCGCCCCCTGAACGCCTCAGGTCACCCTATCCGCCGTGGCCCCCCCGTAGCCCAATTGTCCCGCTCCGCTAGAGCGCTGAAACAGCCTGGATGGCCCCCCCGATCTGACGCCAGAACCGCTGAACGAGGGCTTAGCACGGTGCTAGGCCTGGGGAATGCCTATTCAGCACCCCAAAACCGCTATCCAGCACCCCAAAATTTGGTGGGAGGTACAAAGATGTACATGTATAGAGGCAGACTTCCGTGCTTTTCCTTAACGAAGAAAAGAGACTGTGAAAGAAAACTTATAAGAAATGAAAGCCAGTCTTATAGAGAGTATGATCCTTTTTTAAAACTCCTGGTTTTCTCAGCGAAATTGCATGGCTTTTAGAGCTTTCTTTGCAGAGATAAAGTGCTGATACTTGAGGTGTAAATGCTGAGTCAGCGTGCGGCTAGGTACTTTGAGTTGTGTGGCAGCGCCAGCATTAGGAAAGTACCCTGGGGTGCTGGATAGCGGTTTTGGGGTGCTGAATAGGCAATCCCCTAGGCCTGTAGTGCCCCGTGGCGACCAAGTACCGGTACCTGCGCGCGCCTCCGCCTGGCCTGGCCAGTGATGAAGCGTGCAGAGCCAGGAAAGATGATGCCTGAGGCACAGTGGCTTGCCGTGAGCGGACCGGCCCACCAGCACTTGTCTCAACTGGCCCAGCGGGTGCTGTGAGGGTACCTCGTACGAATCCTCGTACTCGTAACCCATACGTACCACTACCATTACCGGTAACTGACTTGGCCCTGGAACTTTTGCGGGCAGAAACCATCAATCTTCCCTCATCAACTTGGACGCGGCCAATACTCGAGGCCTCAATCGTTTCTGTCGTCCTTCATCGGCCATTCGCTGCACAGACTCTCGCTGCCGCTCCATCAGCGCCTTCATCCTCCCCGTCCTGCTGCGCGAGCCATGGCCGCAGTTGTTTGAGCGAAACACCCCCGTTTAGCGTAACCCGAACATTGATACCGTCAAGACAATCCACCGCCCGCCTCCGCATCCTACCGTCGTGTCCTCCCTCGCCCTCGCCCTCGCCCTCATCTTCATCATCGTCGCCCTTTTCGACGCGACAACCGCATCCCTCATCCCACCATCATCATCACCGCCGCCATCCTCGGACTCAAAACACCCACAATGCCGTCCAAGGCCGCCAACAGTTCCGCAGGGGGCCAGGTTAGCAATCGCCTGCGCAACTTCTTCCGCATGAACAGCAGCGCGAGTAGCATCGCCGAAAAGGAAAGAGGCAGCAACTCCCTCAGCCTGAACAACGTGCCCACGGGCAGCGGCAGCGGCAGTGACTCGCATTCTTCCAAGACGTCTCGACACACCAAGCTGTTCAACAGCACCGTCGGCCGCCTGAGGTCACATACCGTCGCCAGCGAGAGCAACAAGCTGGAGGAGGCAATGAGCCCGACGGCCCTGGCCAACCCCTACTTTGCCCACCAGGGCCAGCCCGGCCTGCGCCATCACAACGAAGGCTCTGTGCCCCCGAGTCCTCCCGACACGCCGACCCTCAAGGTATCAGGCCCGGACGGCACCGAGGCCGAGCAGGCCACGAGCGAGACCAAGGAAGAGCTGGCCCGCAGGTTACGGAGGGTTGCTAGTGCGCCCAACGCCCAGGGGCTTTTTGCGAGCGCGGGCAACAAAGGCGAGCGCCCCGGCACCGCTGAACTCGGCAAAGACCCCTTGATCCAGAACGCCAAGTCAGGGTCGCTGGGTCTTGTCGACGGCAAGGCCGACGCCGCGCAGCTGCTGCACACCGAAGACACTCTGGGCGCTCTGCCTCCGCCGCAGACTCCATTGGCCTTCCGCAGGACGTACAGTTCCAACTCGATCAAGGTTCGGGACGTCGAGGTGGGCCCGTCCAGCTTCGACAAGATCAAGCTCATCGGCAAGGGTGATGTGGGCAAAGTCTACCTGGTGAGGGAGAAGAAGAGCAACAGGCTCTATGCCATGAAAGGTAACCAAATGCCAGCCTGCAGATTGACGCCGTCCCTCCATCCGCTAATTCCAAGTTTCAACGCATAGTCTTGAGCAAGAAGGAGATGATTAAGCGAAACAAGATCAAGCGCGCGCTCGCCGAGCAGGAAATCCTCGCGACGAGCAACCATCCGTTCATCGTCACCCTCTACCACTCGTTCCAGTCCGAAGACCATCTTTACCTGTGCATGGAGTACTGCAGTGGAGGCGAGTTCTTCCGAGCGCTCCAGACTCGGCCCGGCAAGTGCATACCTGAGGATGACGCCCGGTTCTACGCCGCCGAGGTCACGGCTGCGTTGGAATACCTCCATCTCATGGGGTTCATCTATCGAGATTTAAAGCCGGAGAGTACGTGTCCCGCCAAATCAACGCTGCGGCGAGTCAGTTGACTAATGTGCTTCCAGATATCCTGCTTCACCAGTCCGGCCACATCATGTTGTCCGACTTTGATTTGTCAAAGCAGTCTGGCCCCGGCGGCAAGCCCACGATGATTGTCGGCAAGAACGGAGCCAGGACGGACTCTCTGCCGACCATTGACACGCGATCATGTATTGCTGACTTCAGGACGAACTCGTTTGTCGGCACCGAAGAATACATTGCTCCCGAGGTCATCAAGGGCAGCGGCCACACGAGCGCGGTGGACTGGTGGACGCTGGGCATTCTCATCTACGAGATGCTCTACGGAACGACGCCGTTCAAGGGCAAGAACCGAAACGCTACCTTTGCCAACATCCTGCGCGAGGACATTCCCTTTCCCGACCACACCGGAGCGCCGCAGATTTCCAAGTATGTCTCAATATCAAGTATCTGCTGCGATGGTCGTTGCTAACGTGTCTCTTAGCCTCTGCAAATCACTCATCAGGAAGCTGTTGATCAAGGACGAGAACCGGAGGTTAGGTGCCCGGGCTGGCGCCTCCGACATCAAAGCCCACCCCTTCTTCCGCACCACCCAGTGGGCGCTGATTCGCCATATGAAGCCGCCGATTATCCCCAACCAGGGCCGTGGCATTGACACCATCAATTTCAGAAACGTCAAGGAGAGCGAGAGCGTCGACATTAGCGGGGCCAAGGCCGTTGGTGTCCCCCTGGATAGCGGGCTGGCGACTCCCGGCACCGAGGCTACCGATCCGTTCCTCGAGTTCAACAGCGTCACGCTTCATCACGATGACGATGTGCAGTTTCACGACATAAATTACGCGTCGTCACCTTCATCTTGAAGCTGAGATGGCCCTTGCTGAAACGGGGGCTCGCGTTTCTCTTTTTTCTCTTCTCTTCTCGAGGCTTCGGCCGTATCTTTGATTTGCATGCGTGTACACGGTTAAGGTCATGGGATTTGTTCAGATTACGACATTTTGAGTCTCTTTTATTTCAGCGATCAACTTTTGTGTTTTCCACCATCATTATTGCCCCGGAGGTTGATGATGCCTGCATTGGCAGCTGTCCCATCCATTCGCTCCTTTCTTTTGCAACCTTTGGCAGCAGCGGCACAAGCTCAGGAGATACACACAGACAATACGCACAAGATGCATAGCGGATTTTGTACGATGCATTACGCCCCTAAATTTCGTTTAGGAATAAAAAAAAAAACAAAGAAAAAGTCTCTGTGTAGCAGCGTCGTTGCTTTCGTCTCTCATCTGGGCGTTTTTCTTCAAAAGGGAGTTTTTGTGTGCTGGGAATGGGCATTGTGTGTTATTATCATTTTGTAAAAAAACTGTCGACAAGTCTACCTTATGGAGATGGAACGTCTGATCTAACAAATAGAACAAGTATCTTGTGACAGCTGCAGTTTTCCTCGGAGGGGTTATGATCTCCAAGTGACTTCAAGGTCGTGACTTTTCTACTGTGATATTGCACACCAACGGGATCTGGGGGGGGGTGTTCACTGGTTCTTTGACCAGATGCAGCAGCACGGCTTCAAGAGTTTGTCGTGACAACAGTTTACTCCTGGGTACGGGGAACGAAGAGACGAAGAAACGAAGCGATGAAGATTGTTTTTCCTTGGCCCCTTACCGGAATCAGTAGAACAACCTGTAAGTATTGACAGACGTTGAAATCAAGCTCGGCATTGTGAGATTCCTTGACTTCATTCTCCTAGTTGGGATTCTCCTCCCCTCTCCTTTTTCTGATACTTTATCGTACACAGTAATCCCCCCCTCCTTATTCATGAGGCTTCACCAATTCCCCCTTACGGGACGGATGATCCAGATTCCTTTGATACAAAAATGCACTGATGTGCCGGGGGAAAAAAAAGAGTAATGCCTCCAACTCATAAGCTCACAAGACAAACTTCGTTTGAGCCCCTCGAGAAATCACTTCATGCCCTCAAGCCATCATCTCCCCCGCATTCCCATCCTTCCTCCTCCTCGCCGACGGCCCGATCCTCTCCCTGCCGCCCATCCACGGCCGCAGACACTCGGGGATCGCCACCGTGCCCTCCTCCTCGTCCCACCCGTTCTCCAGCAGCGCGGCCAGCACCCGCGGCACCGCCAGCGCCGTCCCGTTGGCCGTCCAGGGAAAACCGAGCTTGCCGCCGCTCGTCTTGAGGCGCGTCGCGAGGCGCCGCGTCTGGTAGTCGGTGCAGAGGCTCGCGGACGTGACCTCGCCCCAGCCGCCGCTGTGGTGCTCCCTGCTGGGGAACCAGGCCTCCATGTCGATCTTGCGGGTGGCGGACGCGCCAAGGTCCGTCGACGGCATGGACAGCACGCGGCAGTAGAGGCCGAGCGACGAGAGGATCTCGGTCTGCATGTCGAGCATCTCGTCAAAGACGTCGCGCGCCTCGAGCTCGTCCGGCTGTGTCCAGGCAAACATCTCCACCTTGGAGAACTCGTGCACGCGGTACAGCCCCTTTGTCTCGGCCCCGCGCGCGCCCGCCTCGGCGCGGTAGCACCGCGACACGGCGACGCGCTTCATGGGCAGGTCGACGGCGTCGAGCGTCGCCATGGCCTTCATGCCCGCGAGCGGGATCTCGGACGTCCCCGCCAGGCACAGCTCCGGCACGCCGCGGTCGGCGTCGGCCTGCGACCGGGCGATGGCGTAGACCTGCTGCTCGCCGTTCTGGTCGCGCGGCTGGAAGCCGCACGCGGCGCCAAGCCGTGCTTGGTCACGACGGCGAGCGCGTACTGGATCAGGGCCTGCTCGAGCTGCGCCGCCTCGCCCACGAGGTAGTACCAGCCCCAGCCGGACGCCGTCGCCGCGCCGGCAAAGTCGAGGATGCCCAGCTCCGCGCCGATGTGCACGTGCGACCTCCAGAGCGCATCGGACCCCTGCTCGTCGAACCGCGGGGGCTCGTTGATGTAGCTCAGCACCTCGGGCTCGTCCCCCCGCGGCGTGTCGGCGCTCGTCAGGTTGGGCAGCTCAAGCGCCAGCTCCTCCATCTGCGCCACGGCGTCGGCCTCCTTCTTCTCAATCACCGCCAGCTCGCTCTTGAGCGCCCGCGCCTCCTCCTGCACCCTCTCGCGGCTCATCTTCTTGACGTCCTTGAGGTCCTCGTCGTCGCTGCTCGTCGCCGAGTTCGCCAGCTCCTTGCGCAGCAGGTTCGACCGCTCCCGAAGCGCGCGCGCGTCCTTTTGCAGCTGCTGCCACTCGGCGTGCAGCTGCACGATCCTCGCCGGGTGCGCCGCCTGCCGCCGGTAGTTGCGCTCCAGGCACGTCTGCTCGTACAGCGCCTGGTTCTGCCGGATGTGCTTGATGTCGATGATGGGCTTGGGCGCCGACGACGGCCGCCGGACGTCTGAGAAGGTGCGCGCGTAGAGGCTGAGGTTGTTGCGGGCTTGGAGCCGCCACTGGGGGCAGCGCAAGCGGCACAGGGGGGTGATCATGGCGGATATTGGCGAGGCATGGTTTGTGATGTCAAGCTGAAGCTTGGCCAGCTCCAAATCGTATGGATTGGTGGTGTGGTGGACTGAGCTTGGATATGCAATTAAGCAGAAGGCACGGTGGGGGCGGGCACTGTGTCTCTCTTACCGGGACAATCCTTGATTGGGAGTTGAGGGAGTTCGTTCTCACAACATGATGGATCCTTACAGCCAGCAACAAACGTCCTTTGATATTATCCAGCCATGTTTCACAGCAACGGTCAAATCACAGTAATTAAGATACCATACGGCGTTATTAAAATTATCTAATCCATCGGCTTGATCGCTGTTCCATCCGCTGCAAGCCAATGGCTCGTCTTCATCGATGCCCTAATACATCATCATGCATCGTCCCCATGACTAAAGAACATTATTCATGTAATATAACGCTTCCAAAATCCAAAATCTCTTTCATAAAACGCCATGCTCACACAGCCGCCGCCCAGTTTTCTGTAACTCAAGTGGTATCAACCCAAAACGTAAGCCCATGGGCAAAAATGATGATGCCAGAAAAAATGAGAACCCAAAAACCTTCACAGAGTCGCCGCCGAGTGACCCTACACACTCTCTTCGGGCCCCGAAGCCTCGCTGCTCCTCTTAGGAGCATTGGCCAAGGCCGCTTCATGTCCGGCCTCCTCCTTTTCCTCGCCATGGTCGGCAATTGTGTCCGAACTGACGGGCACATCCGCCGGAGCGGAAAACACGGGGGCGATCTTGCTCTTCGCGCGAATCTTGGCGCCGTAGAAGTAGAAGACAAAGGGAATGGGAGCGAGCACGAGGGCTACGCAGCCCAGCAACGTGGCAGCCCATTCGATGTGCATGCCGTTGAACATTTGCCGCCCGAAAAGCGGGAAAGCGGCGCCAAAGAGGGATCTCATGAAGGTGTTGCCGGCAAGGGCTGAGGCGGCGAACATGAGGTAGGCATCGACAAGATAGTTGAGGGCTTGCAGGAAAATCGACATGAGGCCAAAGCCGGTGAGGATACCGCTAACAGCGGGAGCTGCCCAGTGGATGCTCTCCTTGTATCCAGTCCTGACACCTTGTTAGTTGCTTATCATCCAAATGAAACCGCTGAGACAGATTCTTGCAGAGTCAAACTTACCATCCAAACCAAAAGATGCCGCCGGCGAAAGCAACGCCACCAACCATCATGTTGGGCAATCGCCACTCGGGAATCGGGATTCCATGGTTGGCTGCGAGCTTGCGGTTGTACCATGGCACCTGGAGAATGATGGTGATGGTCGCGAGCAGCTCGCCAATAATCATTCCGAAGAACGTCAAACCGGACTGGCCCGAGTTGAAGTGGTGGACACCGACGAAAACAAGGGGGTACGCGGTAAAGAAGAGGTAGAGCAGCCCATAGATGAAGCTCATGTAAATGGACAGGAGGAGGATGATTGGCTCGGTGAACAGGAGTCGCAGCGGACGGGTAAAGTTCTTGCTGACGAGCTCGCCAAAGTCGATTTCGATTTCCTCCTGCTTGGCATGGATACCCCAGTTCTTGGTCCGGCGTCGCAGTTCCGAGGCCTTGCTGACGAGGATGACGGGCGGATAGGACTCGCTAAGGAAGAACATGTCAAGAATCAAGGCAACAAATCCCATGATGGCGGCGAGATACTCGGTCCAGCGCCATCCCAGGTGTGAGTCGACAATGAAGCCGCCGATGAAGGGCGCGAGCATGGGGCCAGTGAAGACAGTCATGGAGAAGATGGCAATCGCCGTTCCTCGAGTTCTGTTATCAAACATGTCGGAAAAGACGGCGGCAACGACAGCGAGGGGACAGGCGCCAAAGAATCCGGCAAAGAAGCGGCAGATGAGAATGGTCTGGATGTCCTTGGCCGTGGCCGTTGCGATGGTGAAGACGGAGAAGCCGAAGATGGAGAGCACAATGGGCAAACGACGGCCCTTGAGCTCGGACAGAGGGGCCCAGAGACTGGGACCAAAGGCAAAACCAAGCACATAGAATGAGGTGCCCAGGATGCCCACCTCGAGGCCGACGTCGAACTTTTCGGCCACGGTGCTAGTAGCAGCGGAGAAGATGGACGATGTGAAGGTGGTGGTGACGGTGGTGTAGGCCAGCATGGCGGAGGTCAGGAGCTTCTTTCTTATGGGCCAGTTCTGGGCGTGAAGGGGGTCGTCGGGGCCGTCAAACTCGACGACATACTCCTCCTGGGCGGGCAGCAGTGGGGGATACGGCTTCCCACCGCCAAAGGGCGGCAACGGCTTACGAGAGGCCCTGCTCTCGGAGCGAATCGACCCACCGACAGTATTAACGTGCTGGCTTCGCTGAGTAGCAATACGGCTCAGGGCGGTGGGATGGCGCTCCAGGTCGTTTTGTGTAGATACGCGGCTCATGTTGCGGCGGAACATGCTTCCATGGTCCGTGGACGCAGACGAGGCTGACGATGCCGTGATGACGCGCTCGATCTCGTTACTAGCCCGGCGTCGATAGTGCTCGGGGGAGGCATCGCGCTCGGCCTCGATGAGCTCGCGGTCGAGGGGATCCATGATGTCTGGGACGACGACGCAACACTCGGTGTGCGCCTCTCCGTGTGGTGATATCTGCGGCCTGCGGTTGGCGACTGCGAATCGCTTCCCAGCTGATAGCTACCGAGGAGCTACAGTAGAGGGGACCTTGTAGTATAAGGTATGTACAAGCAGAGAAACGAGAGACGAACGAGGACGAAGCTCGTGATATGGATGAAATCGCTGGCTGGGAATATAATAGAGAATATGACAGGAGGTCGAGGACCAGAGGTGTGAGGAGAAGGCGTCCAAGTGGAAGATAGACGAGACCCAGAATAAAGCTGCAGGGGCTTGAAGAGAAAAAAAAAATATGCTTGTTGGTGCAGGGACGGCACTCGTCGATTGGTGGAGGAGTCTACAGTACTCTTGATCGGGCGATGGCTGGACGGGATATCATGTACCGGTACGAACCCCCGGTCGGCTTGGAGCTGCCGAGTATTACCGGATTAGGACAAGCGGGTGGTCGGCTAGTGCGAGTTGGGGGGAAGCGCCGAGCTGGCGGGGTCTGTTAGGTAAGGTGTGGACTGCAGGCGGACGGCGATGATGCAGTGATGAGAGGTGATGAGAGGCCGCGGAGAGAGAGAAGGGCAACTGTCGGTATAGCTGATAAGAGGAGTTGGTTGATGTTGATAATGGTAACAATAAAAGGGGCTTTTCAATCGGTTTCTATTGGAACGTGAATGGCTGGCTGAACAGAGGATGAAACCAACGACACGACAAGACACAGATGCAAACAACGATGACCAAGCCAATTGCGTCCAGCTGGCTAACTAGCAGGGCGATAACAGTAATTCCCAGATGAATCTGGACAATGCATGTAAGACGACGCGGCGCATTCGCTCTTTATATGAATTGAATTGCCAACGGCCCGGTCTGTCAGTGAGAGTAACGCCGGGCCGTTAATAGTTGGTATTACGAATTGCGACTATAGTAATACGCCGTAGAATCTGGCTTACAAGTCCTGATTACAGAGCGCTTCTCTGTCGTTCATGTAAGTCGGCCTCCACCCCCCTCCCAAAGTCGCCCATCCTCTTCCACACGGAAGTCGGGCCTCGACGACAAGAAAAAAACTCTGCGCCCTGTTCGGCGGTCCCCTGCATGGACCATCCCCTATTTCTTTCTTCCGTTCGTACGATACGGTCGACGGAGGCGCGAAACAATGGGGCCCTTGCTTAAGCCCGAACGCTTCATCGGGGCTGGAGCCGCCTAGACTATTCAACTGCCATGCGCACATCCCGCATCTGTGGCGCCGGGTCCACCGAGCTTGGGTGAGCAGCCATCAAGCGTCCAAGTGTCTTCATCTTCGCCGAATCGCGTGTGGGCTGTTGATGCCCGATTTCATTTCACGAGGGACCAAATCTTCCCTGTCTCGTTTTAAGATTTTTTACAGTTTTCATGGTTGCCAAGAAGCATTTCAATGCCCTGCTCCACAGCATTCAAATCTTCAACTCCATTCTTCTCGTGTTTTGATACTTGAGATGAAAGAGAGACAGTCATGACACGTGAAGCTCATACTTGGGCAAGTATGATCGCATCGATACCCACAGCTGAGCGCCCATCAGATTTCAAATAATGTAATCACAGCCTCTCGGACACGCTCTCCATGGAGTGTCCGTCCGAGGAGATCAACTTGTAAATGATGAGAATTGCCCGCCTTGTCTTCTGAGTCTATCCGCCGCGCTTCGTTCGGCCGGTGTCGCCTTCTCGTAACTGATCTATCGCTGCCGAATGACGTAGTTGCCCAAGCATCCCGTCTTTGTTCCTTCTTCATTTATTTTTTCTTTTTTTTTCGTCTTCATGTTCGCTTGCCGAAGCCCGAATTGATGAACTGCGAGACCGAAAGCGAACCGTGCAGCTTGCATTTCATGAAGAACTAGTCCAAAGCGAGTTAGCCTGCCAATAGCTGAAGCCCAGCACAGACCAGAACTGCAGCGTTGGCAATCAGCGGCTGTCGTCGGGACAAAACACCGCTGCTATCCAGCTGGGTCCTGTCCAGCAAGCTTATCAAGGAAGAAAAAGGCACAAGAGGAAACAAATCATAAAGCGGAAAAAAGAAGGAAATAAAAAAAAAGAACTGCTGCAAGGAATTGTCCAGCAGATTCCAGGGACCGCGTTGGCGGAGCGGCCATGTTTTATATGCCGGGCTTACGTTGTGGCTCTGATTGGCTGATCAACACTTGCCGGGGACGGAGAATATGCCCAAAAGTCCGACGCCGAGGACTTTGTGCCCTTTTTTGGCTGGCAACGGAGAATGCAACACCCGTTGCCTTGCGAATGCGCAATTGCTTCTTGCTGCATCGGCCATTTTCGAACGAGGAAGCAAAAATGGCATCTGTATGTAAGTGCCGCGGAGGGCTGGAGCGGCAGCACTACCGTAGCTCCCGGGCTCCATCGTATCGCATCTCCTCTCCTTGCACCAGCGATCGAGCTGTGCGACGATGGAGTTGTATTGGAACGCTTCCATGCAGCCTTCCATGTTACCTAATCCTGCTTACTACCAACTTTCATTCCAAGGCGTAAACAGGACACCACGGCCTATTTCAACACTCGCAGCTTTCATCAAGGAAATACTCGTATATACGAGTAGATTGCATGGCGATTTACCATGTAGTCTGTAGATCCATCGAATCTGGAACCGGCATCTAAACCAGGGGAATTCTGCCTGGACGACCTTGCTGCTAACAAACCTTGTCTTCGGCATAGCTTGCCGACTCGATAGTCATCGCCCTCTGCAATAGTCGTATGACACAGTTGAAAGCTCCAAGTTGCTACCAATCATAACAAGGATAACCAATCTCCATCCTACACAAGAAAGCACTCCTTCGTGCACAATCGTCATGCTCTACCGCAGGCAACGATCCCCTTTCCGCGCGTCCCTGAGGCTGTTGCTCGGACTTTTGGATGAGTCATCTAAAACTCCGGCCGCGTGGCTGAAGCTAGAGGATAGTAGTAATGATACGACCAGAAAGTCTAAACCAGAGAGTTCTGTAACATGAGACTCAAGGAATCGGAATTTTTGGCGATAGATATAAAAGGATTGAGTTCGCCCTGTTTCGAGGAGGAAGGAAATCAACAAACAAGTCTAAACAGCTTTGAGCGTTATCCCTAGTCTTCTTATTCAAATCGCTACTTCATCAGCACGCTGAGCACTCCACTTACAACATCGCGCTACTTCCAAGTACACCAACAGCATCAACTCATTGCCAAAGACTATTCAACATGCAAAACATGCGAATTGCCATCATTGGAGCTGGGCCGGCTGGTAAGTCCACTCAATCCTGATTCTCCCCAATCCCGTTAGCTAACAATCCTCAAAGGCTGCATGCTCGCCCGACTCCTCCATCTAGGAGGCATCCAAGCTACCGTCTTCGAAGGCGAGACCTCTGCCAGCATCCGCTCCCAAGGCGGAAGCCTGGATCTGCACACCGAGTCCGGCCTCGCAGCCATCAAGGAAGCCGGCCTCTGGGACGTCTTTCTGTCGCACGCTCGCTACGACGGCCAGTACCTGGCCGTTGTGGACAAGGACCTGCACTACTACATTGTTCGAAACGCCGACGCCGCATCCAACATTGCCTTTGGAGAGCGCCCGGAGATCGACCGCGTCAAGCTCAGAGAGATCCTGCTCGACTCCCTCCCGGAAGACACCGTCAAATGGGGCCACCGTCTGCAAAGGGTAGATGGCACCACCTTGACCTTTACCAATGGAACCACGGCCGACTTCGACCTCGTTGTTGGCGCCGACGGGGCCTTTAGCAAAGTCCGCCTGTCCATCGCGCCAGAGCTCAAGCCGGAATTCACAGGAGTCGGCATGCACGACCTCTCGATTCCCGATGCCGAGAAGACCGCCCCTGAAATCTACAAGCTCGTCAACCGCGGGAGCCTCTTCGCCAGCGCGGACCACCAGCGCTTCACGCTGCAGCAAATGGGCGACGGCAGCATCTCCATGGGCTTCAGCTTCGTGCGAGAGGACCCGGACTGGATGAAGCCTGACAAGTGCGGCTACGACTGTGAAGACCTCGCGCAGGTGAAGAAGGCGTTGGCCAAGGAGATGGAGCACTGGGGCCCCGTGTTTCACAAAGCTCTTGACGCTGCCCAGGGGCGAACGCTCACCAGGTCGCTGTTCCGGCTGCCCGTCGGGGCAAAGTGGGAGCACAAGCCCGGCGTCACTCTCATCGGCGACGCGGCCCATCTGATGACGCCTCATGCGGGCGAGGGCGTCAACCAGGCGCTTGAGGATGCCATGATTCTGGCCCGAGTGATTCTCAAGGCTCAGAGCGCCGAAGAGCTGGACGATGGGATCCGTCAGTTCGAGTCCGACATGATGGCTCGTGTTGAGAAGATTCAGCAGCTTGCTTGGGATCGCTGCCAGGGCTTGCTGTTCACGACGAATGTGACAGAGTATATTGTCGGAAAGTGGATGCAGCAGCGGAAGATTCGCATGGCAGAGCAGTTGGACGAGGGGCAGGTGAAGGCAATGGATGAGGCCATGGCCAAGGCTCAGGCGGAGGCGAATGCCAGGAACAAGGCATGATGCCTGGGCTGTTGCAATTCATGTTTTGGGCACTTGTTAGCTGTCCTTTTTGTTTCTCATTGGATATTCTCGGATGAGACTTTGATACTCTACTCGTTTAGACTGATATATTAGCGAGCAAGCAACACAGAGATCGATTTGATCTGTTTCATCACTGGGCTCGAGTGCAGTCAATATTTCATATAATTGCTAGTGACTTCACACTTGTTTATGTCTTTCAAATGAAGAGTCGGTTTCGTTCCATGTATGAATTCCTTTTGATAGTCAGTCATTATGATCTTAGCACAGCAGGCAGCGAAGGGCCGCGTACCTACAGCGTCAGAGGCAACCCCGCGCCAGAAACACCACCTCTTCTTCAACGCAACCTGACATATTGCATGATCCTCACATCAACGAACATTCACAGTAATCTTGACCAGTCAAACATACCAAAAATACCGCCCTACAGCATGCCGACAGAAGGCGTCTACTTTCGTCCCTCCGGACAGAAAACCTTCATCCCCCTCGAAAACAACCCCGAAGTCTTCACCTCCCTGGTCCACGACCTCGGCGTCTCCCCCGACCTCGGCTTCTACGACGTCTACAGCCTCGACGATGCCAGTCTCCTCTCGCTGGTGCCGCGCCCCGTCCTAGCACTCATCTTCATCACCCCGGAGGAGCCATACTATGTCGTCCGCAAAGAAGACGGACACGCCGTGTCGCCAGCGCAGCTGACCTACGACAAGAGCGGCGACGACGAGCCCGTCCTCTGGTTCCAGCAGACCATCGGCCATGCGTGCGGGCTCATGGCGCTGCTGCATTCCGTGGCCAACGGCGAGGCGAGGCAGTTTGTCCAGCAGGGGTCCTTCTTGGACGGCCTCTTACGCGAAACTACGCCTCTGAAGCCGGTTGAGAGGGCCGCGGCGTTGTACAATAACGAAGAGCTGGAGAAGAAGCACATGAAGGCCGCGAGGACGGGGAATTCCCAGCCACCTGGTGCCAACGAGGACAACTTTTTCCACTTCATCTCTTTCGTCAAGGGAAAGGATGGCCACTTGTGGGAGCTGGAGGGCGCCACTGACGGGCCCTTGGACCGGGGGCTGATGCGCGAGGGCGACGATGTGCTGAGCGAGGGGGCGCTGGACTTGGCCGTGCGCAGGTTTTTGAAGGCTGGGAATGGGAACGTGAACTTTAGCATTGTGGCTTTGGCGAAGAAGCCCGCGGAGTGACGTGTGTTATTGTGACGAGGAAGCCGATGAGAAGGGTCATGTTTTCTTTTCTGATACTCTTCCTAGCGAGAAGGATTGCAGAAACTGGTACGAAGAGGCAGAATGACGCTGGATACTACACGTAATATCCATCTCATGAAGCCTCAATAGCACAAATGCAAACACTGATAGGACGAATGGATGAATATCTCTTTGACCTCGAATTCACAGTCAGAATCCAACACTTTACCGCTGGAGCCTTTAATACATGTGGGGGGACGAGAAATGTCACCGGGTCTTAGCGCCGGGGTCACGCCGCCATTTCGGGGCCCCGGACTCTGACCCTCAGCGCTGCTTGGACGGAACCTCAACCTACTCCTCCTGGGACTCATGGGCTCGACACAAGGCGCGGCACCGGTGACAGAGAGCTTGCCATCGCAATGGACAGCTCCCAGGCGCCCTTGATCTCCAACAGCCGCCACGACGATGACGCGCCGTACGATGCCGCCGACGACGAGCCAGCGTCCAGGGCGGCCGCGGGAAAGGCGAGCAGCGAGCGTCCCGGCTTGTTCGTCTTGATCCTGACATTTGCCGCGGGCATCAGCGGGCTCTTGTTTGGATGTGAGTGCTGCTTCGGTCTTGTTTGGGGACTCACGGAGAATGCGTACTGACCAAGTCGTTGCCCTCAACAGACGATACCGGAGTCATTTCTGCCACGCTCGTCTCGATCGGAAAGGCGCTGTCGGGCCGAGACCTCACGTCCATGGACAAGTCCATCATCACGTCCTCGACCTCCCTCTTCGCGCTTCTCGTCTCGCCCTTCTCGTCCCACATCGCCGACCGCCTGGGCCGCAAGCGAGTCATCCTCTACGCCGACGTGCTCTTCATCGTCGGCGCCGCCCTGCAGGCCGTCAGCTCGACGGTGCCGCTGATGGTGGCCGGCCGCTGCATCATCGGCGCGGCGGTGGGCGCGGCGAGCTTCGTGGTGCCGCTGTACATTGCCGAGGTTGCGCCATCGTCGCACAGAGGCCGTCTGGTGACCATCAACGTGCTCTTCATCACGCTCGGGCAGATGGCGGCGTACATCCTCGGCTGGGCGCTGTCGACGTATGCGTCCAAGGAGACGGGCTGGCGGTGGATGGTGGGACTGGGCGCGTTGCCGGCGGGCTTGCAGGGCGCTCTTGTTGCCTTGATGCCGGAGACGCCGCGCTGGCTGGTGAAGGCGGGGAGGTCGGACGATGCCCGGCGGGTTATACAAAGGGTCGATGGCGTACAAGGGCGGTTTGATGGCTCGGCGGATGCCGTCATCAGGGAGATTGAGATGGAAGTTCGCGAAGAGGAGGAGGCACGCCTGCTTGCGGCCCGCCATGCGTCAGGCCCATGGAAGGGCCTCGGTGTGTGGCACGAGCTGTTGAGCGTGGGGAAGCACCGCCGTGCGTTGGCCATTGCGTGTCTCTTGCAGGGACTGCAGCAGCTGTGTGGTTTTGTAGGTGACCTATACAAGATTGCAACTGTCTAAACTGGGGACTTGAGCTAACGGGCCTGGACAGAACTCCTTGATGTACTTTTCGGCCACCATCTTCTCCATCATGGGCTTCGAGAGCCCTACGCTGACGTCTCTCATTGTCGCCATCACCAACTTTGTCTTTACGCTGGTCGCCCTGGTCCTCATCGACCGCATTGGCCGCCGCCGGATTCTGCTGTATTCGATCCCGTTCATGGCGCTGGGGCTGCTCTTGGCCGCAGCCGGTTTCTCCCATCTCTCTCTGGAGCCGTCACCAGCCGCCCGGAACGGTGACGACGACGAAGCCACGACATCGACGACGACAACAACAACAGCAACAACGACCGAGGCCGAGCGCGAGACCAGGCCAGCCGTCGTCGTCCTCGTCAGCATCATGGTCTACGTGGCGTCCTACGCCCTCGGCCTGGGCAACGTGCCGTGGATGCAGAGCGAGCTGTTCCCCCTGGCCGTCCGCTCGGCGGGCAGCGGCGCCGCGACGGCGACCAACTGGGCGGCCAACTTTGCCGTCGGCCTGACGTTTCTGCCGCTCATGGACGCGCTGAGCCCGTCGTGGACCTTTGTGCTGTACGCGGCGGTTTGTGCCGTGGGGTATGTCCTCGTCTGGCGCATCTATCCCGAGACGGCGGGCTTGAGCCTGGAGGAGGCCACGGCGTTGCTGGACGACGGATGGGGCGTGCGATGATGACTGCTGTTTTGTTGTCTTTTTCTCTTTTTCTTTTTCTTTTTTTTTTTTACGTTCACAATATCTGTTGTAGCACATACATACTCGATAGAGCCAGGGATACATGCGATAGAACACGGGCGCGGAACTAGAGAATGTGATACTAGGTAGTATTGTGTGATACTTGCAAGTGCCTGTATGTACCTGCTTCCGTATGAGCCGCGTTGCCACGGGAGCTGAAGTTGCAGATTTTTGTCCGGGATCCTGCAAGGGACAGCTGCAAGGTACCGCAGGGGGAGGACACACTTTCGTTATCTCGCCTCGGATGGGCTTGGAGAGCATTCTAGAAAGCTTCCAGACGGGATTGGAGATTTTGTCGAATGAGAGGCACGAGGCAACACACATGCACAGCGAGGATGGGCGAACAATGAATGATGCTTATACCTACGTGCATACAACTACATACATACCTTACCTGTATTACATGAAGATTGTGAAACGGGGGGGTTTGCGTGTTCACGCAAAGGGCTGGTGTAGTTGTGTCACCGTGAAGGGCGTATGTACATCAATATATTACTAATAGTATTGCGACACTGGAAATGAATCTTACATACATACGAGGGAGAGCAGCCTCGCAGAGGAAATACACTCGTTGATCTGAACCGGGGGGGGACGTGATTATCATCAGTTCGTATCTGTTTGGTGGGTTCTGGTTGCAACCTCGTGCTCGACACCTCGTGGCTGCTGCTGCGGTTGGGCAGCCATAAATACCTAAGGAGCCCTAAGGAATAATAAAGAGTATTGCTATCCGGGCACTGACGGATTGCTATCCGGGCACTGGTGGAAGTACCTTAAAATTTTCCTTTAGGTACTATGTTTTTATCTATATCTAAGAAAATTAAGAAAAATATGAAAAAATATAATTAGCTTAAGTATTAGTTAAAAAACTTAGTAATATTTTTTATATATTTTTTATATCTATTTAATAGCTTATAAATAGGTAGAAACTTAGACTATCTAAAAGCTATATTTAATATACTATATCAGAAATAAATCAGGTAACTTTTTATATAGCTATATAGCTTTTTATCTAAATTTTAATATTCTTAAAAGTGCATGCTTTAAAAAGTATTACTTAGCTAAAAAATGCTAGTTTAAGAAAAAGATAAGTTTTAAAGCTATATATATGCTAAAAAATGAAAATAAAATAAAAAATATATAATCTAACTATATAAAGAAGCTAAAAATTTAATAATTTCTTTAGAAATATTTTTCTAGAATTTTTTATGAATTTTTAAAGTTAAGGGAAATTTCTGTGGGCCCTTATGCACAGACCCCTACTATGCCTACTTAGGCTAGTCAGTGCCCGAATAGCAATCCATCAGTGCCCGGATAGCAATACTCATAATAAATAAGACTCCCGGTTCTATAAATAACATACACACCAAGTTGGAGCCCAGTCACCCGGAACAAAGAAAAAAAGGAAGAAAATAGATTGAAAGGAAGAAGGGAAAAAGAAGAGCTGAGCTGTCCAATGGCCACGTCGCATCTCAGCCACTGACAGGTCTTTCGGGTTCTTGATTGATCTGCTGATGCGCACATGCCGTGGGGACCCTGTAGATTTGGGAGCTGGAGCCCTGGGAGAAAAGTAGTATAGGGGATGGATGATGTGCAGTTGATTTGGGGAAGAGGAATTTGGAGAGATGGAAGAGACACGCACGAGTGAGTATGAGAGATGAAGAGAGAGACAGAGAGAGAGAGAGAGATGGAAGAGTGAGAGAGTTTAGGTTATGCTTATATACAACTAACTAGGCCGCCATGTTTCATCTGGTTGCGGCGGAACGACACAGACTGAGTTGTTTCCAAGCTAGGTACACATCGTAGTCTATCTAGTATCCTCTCTACTGGGGTTGAGGTGAGGCGACCCAGGCGCACTGTGTGCTGTCCCCGAGGGCACTGTATATCCGTCTCTCGTTCGCTTGCTGCAATACGAGGCCCTGGAACTCACTTCCCGAGAAACCTTGTCTGAAATGCCGTCTTTTCAACTCGAAATAGCGATCCCATCGTATTCTCGTCATATACGCCCACGGGCATTTGGTGAGGCTTTTCATCCCATCGGGTCCGACGCTTCTCCGGCCGTAGTTGTACCTGTAGATCGTTCGAACAAAGCACAGTACGAACAATCCCGATGCACGGACTCACCTCCCACGCCGGCCCCCCTCTCGCGGCCATTCTGTTCTGTTCTGCCTTTTCCAGCTGTCAAGGCCAGCCAGCTGCTGAACCCGGCACAACACCAACCAGCCTCTTTTCCCCGGTTCCAGCTTCGGCCATTCCTTTTTCCCCTGCTTCTGCCGCATCGTCCTTTCTTCCTACGTTCTCTCTCTAACGAACAACCAACACCCCTGACATCTGCATCTTCAGCAGCCCGGTCCAGCGTCCCCCGACTCGAGACACTTGTTCCGCAATCCGAAGCCATCGCCACAACCCGCCAGCCTTTTCCTCGCTCTATCTGGCGCCGAGCTTTGTGCTTCTCTTGTGTGTTGCGCATAACAAACGCACGGGAGGCGCCTCGGCTTGCTTTTTCTCCTTCAGCCGCCTGCCGCTCGTTGGATAATGTGACGCCCGTTCCGCTGTCGCACTTGAACCGTCGCTGCCCTTGTTTGATTACCGAACTGCTCCTTGCTCTGTCTCTGGCCAACAAGTCCTCGGACGAAAAGCAACTCGAGCTTTATTGTCTCTCGACTTTTTGCTTCTGTAGCACCCGAGGCCCAAGCAACGACTCTACCGTCCATCCCTATCGCTCGCTCACCTCAAAGTCCGCCACACGACGCTTTCTTCGACCCGCTCGCCAGCCACCCGTTTGGTTCCCGCGATAACGGCCCGTCGAGCGAATATAAGGGGGATACGGCCCATCCGATCCAGAAAACCACAACACCATTCCGATTCACGGGGGAGCTGAAGAGAAGAAGAAACGGAGTCAAGAGTAACTCGGGAGAAGTGATACGATGCAGCCACAAGCCTCTGCCGCCCAGAGAGCCTACTCACAACGGCGATCCCCAGGGGCGACGGACCCCGGGCCTCCGCCAAATGTTTCCGTGCGAGCCATCTCGCCTGGCATGCAGCAAGGCCATCCCCAGCAGCGTCAATCCAATGCCTCTGTCAGGTCCGCCCCGTCCACCAGCGGGTCGAGGAGGACAACCCGCGAGGTACGTCAAGCCGAACTTGTCCTATCCTGATTTCCGGCGCCTGGGCGACTCGAATCCAGCGGCGCGCAACTCGGGCTGACTGTGTGCATAGGGTTCATCCGGATCGGGGAGCGGTTCCAACATGCCGCTGTCGCAAATCGAAAGGAGCGTCACCCATCTCCTCGTAGCCACCAAGCAGCTTCTCGAAACGCTGACGCAGTGGTCGCGTGGCCAAGCAACCGATGCGCAAGTCTCCGACGTCTACGTACGATTAGGCTACGAGTTCAACATGGCTTGCCGGGCCTTTACCGCCATCAACGTCGACACCTCCGACCTCGGCAACGTGCCCGACCTGCTTCGCAGCATCCTCGAGGCCTGCCTGAGCCAAGAAGCGAGCGCCGAGAGCTTGGAGAGGTACCTGCCTAGGATTCGGGACATCATCATCAACCTGCTCCACGGGCTGAAGCGGAAGCAGCAGAGATTGCGCCAGAGGCAAGGGCGTGACCGAGACGGCTCCGCGGTACCGGAGCGAACCACGAGCGTTAGCACCATCGGGAGCGGGAGCAGCGGCCTGACCAACATGCTGGACGACACTATAGAGAGCCACCGACCGCATTCGCATCGACCAGGTTCCGGCCCGCAGCAAAACGGCGGATCGTCGCCCACGCGGCGCTTCAACGCCGAGCGTGACCCATCCAGGGGGTCCGTCGCTTCAGAGGTGTCTTCCATTTCCAGCGCCACCATGCAGAGCATGCCTGTGATGCCGCCTTATCCAGCAGACAACGATACCTCCCTGCCTGCAGGGCCGCCGCCCGCGCCAGAGCTCAATATTGACGCCTTTCCGCCGCCGCCGCCGCCGCCACCGGACAAGACATCGAGTGCGCTGGCAGCGCTGCAAAAGGGTGGTGACTTGGAGAGGAGAGCGTCCCGGAGATACTCCCAGTATCAGATCTCGAAGCATCTTGGATCAGCTGGCAATGTCGTACCCATGCTACCTTCACAGACAGGACCGACGCCGAATAGGGGAAGGAAAGAGGCGAGGGAGTCGTTGCGCGCCGTCCAGTCGCGCGAATCCGTCCGACATAGCCGGACTGCATCGCAAATCAAGAGCGGTCCTGGCTTTGAGAACTCCCCCATCCGAGTGCCCAGTCGGGTGGCGGAGGAGAACGCGCCCAGTCAGCCGTCCGTGATTGTCGAGAGCCCGTCCGCGCAGACTCCTGATGAAAAATATGCGCCCAGCGCAACGCTTTCCGGTCCCATGACCGACTCGAACCCATTCATGAACGAGACGCCACGCCCTGGGTCCAAGAAGGAGCAGAAGTCCAAGTCGGAAGAGACGCCGACATCGGCTCCTCATCCCGCGGAATCGAAGCCGAACAACGAGCAGTACTTTCAAGTTTCTCCTCCGCCGACGCCTACGAAAGACTTGACACTGTTCCTCCAGTACAAGTCAAAGGTCAAGAAGATTGTGCTCCCCGAAGGTCGTGACGAGCTCTCCATCGGACGCCTGCAGCTGGCCTTTATCGAGAAGTTCTCCTGGAACACGCAGCAAAACGGAGCCGATTTGCCCGAGATTTACATCCAGGACCCTGTGTCTGGTGTGCGGCATGAGTTGGAAGATCTGAGTGACATCAAAGACCGAACCGTCCTGGTTCTCAACGTGGAGCCCCTGGATGAAGTGAAACGGCACATAGACGAAGGCATAGGCGCGCTCACCAAGATTGTTCGGGAGGTGAAGCAGAACGTCGATGATCAAGCCGTTACTCTCCAGCGGGTTTCGGATCGCCAACAAGAGACGGCCAAGGAGATGGCTCAGATTGTCTTGGAAAAGGCCCAGCAGGCGCCTGCGCGAGCCGCGGAAGGCTCGAAGCCCCTGGGCCCCGGCCGGAAGCTCGACAACAGCCAGATCGGACAGATCCAGAGCCTGCGACAGGACCTCGCCGTCCTTCGACAAACCTACTCGTCCTTCCAGTCGGAGATCCAGTCACATATGTCCACGATTCGCAACAAGGCCGCCCACGTCAAGGCCGCGGCTGCCAAGGCTGCGATCCCCAGCATAGAGGGCGATGCCGGCTACGCCTATGTCTCCAATGGGCGTAAGCAGCTCAATGCCGACTCGGACCGACTGGTCGCCAAGGTGGATGATCTCCAGGACTTGGTGGAAGACTTGCGCAAGGACGTGGTGCACCGCGGTGTTCGGCCGCTGCCTCGACAGCTCGAGGTTGTCGCCAAGGACGTTACCGCGCTTTCCAAGGAGCTCAAGGCAATGGAGGACTACATGGCCAAGGAGAAGCCAATCTGGACCAAGATTTGGGAGAAGGAGCTCGAGGACGTTTGCCAGGGACGTGATGAGCTGCGCATTATGGAGGAGCTGCTTATCGATCTGCGTGATGACCTGGAGAAGGCCTCGGAAACGTTTACCCTCGTTGAGCAGGCTACCAAGGAGCAGATGAAGGACAGCGGAACGGGCCACAGCGCGAGCACGGCCCGCACCTTTTCCAGGGGCCTGAACAACCTCGGCAACAGCCTGGATCAGAATGCCGCCAAGGAGGATGTGCTGGGCGAGGTGCGCGCTCTGCAGCCGAACCACCAGGACCGGCTCGAGGCCATTGAGCGCGCCGAGAAGCTGCGACAGAAGGAGTTGAAGAACCGCTCGGGCAACGCGCTCCACCGCGAGATCCACGCCTTTGTTGCCGAGGGCAAGCTGAAGAAGTCGGGAGGCTTTGAAGAAGTGGAGCGCGCGCGGCTGGCCAAGGATGAAAAGATCCGGCGCGAAGTGTGGGAGCGGATGAATGGCATTGTCGGGGATGACGAGGAGGAAGAGGAAGAAGAGGAGGAGGAGGAGGAAGAAGAAGAGGGAGAGGGCGAGGAGGAGGAGGGGCAAGAGGTTGCGGAGGGTGAGGCCGACGAGGGTTCTGGAAGCCGTCCTGGTTCGCCGAAGAAGGCGGATGGTGCCGCGGCCGATGAGGCATAAGGGGCATGTCGCACCCTAGTACGACGGCTGAGAAGGGGGCGGGCTCTGTCGATTCTCTAGGCGGCTTGAGCGTCCTTCTATCTCTTCAACGGCCGTTGTCAGCTTCTTTCCATGTTACCGCGCCCTTGCCCCTTTCATCATGCCTCTTCTCTTTTCCTTGCTGATGTCGATTGACGCGAGGAGATTGAGAATGCTTGGACGAAATATCTGTCTTTGTCATGCCTTTCCTTTTTTCTCTTTTGAGGGTGTTTTTTCTTTTGGAAGTTTGTTGATACTCCGTCTCTAGACTGCCCCTGTTTTATTCCTTCTGAGCTGTTCTGGGCTAGATTCACTCTGCCTTTTTGGCCTTTCTTTTCACTCTTCTTCATTTTTCTGTTTATCTGTTTTATTTTTCTGTATGAAGTTGATGGTCAAGAAAGCGTTACTTTACAGGAGGAAGCGTTACTTTTGAGGGAGAAGACGCGGAGGAGAGTTTAATCCATTGATTGATTGATGGCTGGATGTATTCATTGATGGATGTATTTATTGATGGATGGATGGATGGATCGAGTAATTAGCTTTTGTATTGAATTCATAGCGGAGGCGAATGACGGATTCTGCCTTTTTTAACTATCGATTTTATATATAACTCACCTTGTTTTTGTTGTCACATTTATTTGTTGTCGCGTTGTTGGCTTCGTGCTTGTATCATCGTGAGGTTCAGTTGCGTTTACTTTTTTGTCAAGCCGTAGATTGGAAGATGGTACCACGGGAATCCATGAAATTTTGCATTTCCGTGTTTGTTGCGGCCTGTTTGGATAAAACTTTGTTCAAGCAACCTAGAAATCTCGGGGAAACCTTCCCATGGTGTATTTAGACTGACACCCCTGAGATTTTCCATGGGCTTTTGTAGCTTTGTTTCAAGCTCAGATAAACAATCAGAATAAAGAAAGAAAAGAAAATCTTGTATCGTAAATCGAAAACTTGGAAATTTGCTTACAAGCATCGACAGGAAGGGGCAACATTCCTTGCCCATTATATACAGTTGGCTTTTTCAAGTTCCAACAAGGACAGAAAAACTTCAGAATGGCCATTCAACTCAGCTCTCTCTCTCTCTTTCTCAC